GGCGGTCGCGAGCGACAACACAAATCGCCAAGCACCTGTTAAAAAAACCTGTCTGCGTGTAGCTGCGGTCAGCTGGTGGCGAAACCAGCCGCAGATGATGTCAAAACAAGCAAACAATCTCCGCCTCTGCAGTTGCAGCAGCCTCTGGCAAAGCTGCTTCCTGCCGTCCAGTTATCTGTCTCGCTCCCTTTCTCATTCTCTCTCTCTCTCTCTCTCTCTCTCTCTCTCTTTCTCAGTCTCGCTCTCTCTCTCTCTCCGCGGTTGGGCTTCTGGGTACCGATGCTCATCTGATTTTTGGAATACATCGGAATCTTCCAGTTGCAAGTCAGCACGAGTGCTCGACGACCGTGCTTCACTTGACACGGGTGTCACTGATCACGCTGGATCACACTATGAATGAGCGGGAAAGCCAGTCAAACGTGCCAAGAACAACCGCACAAAGAAGCAAACTCAAGAACGAGGAGCAGCCGCAGGAAGGCAAGGCATCTGACTCAACACATCTTTCTCTGCAAGACACTGCACCGTTTAAAGCCACATTCTTCTTGCGCACCCGTTAAGCCTACTTTCTCCGAGTTTAATGCAGTGCGAGCGAGATTGGAAACTACGCAGAGAAGCTGGCGATGTGTATCATGCAAGTGTGAGGCCCCCCAAGAAGCAGATAACCAAAACTGAGGACAGGGATATCCCATATCAATCCAAGTACAGATTTGGGGTCCCCAAAAATAACCGAATGCTGACCGCAACGGCCTCCAGGATTTCGCCCGGCTCTGCCTGCAAATCGTTCGTTTTAGGGTTTAGGGTTCAGGTGGAAATCAGAACCATCATTATAAAAATGATGGTGTCCTAAGGCTACAGGGCCGCACGGATTTTGGACCGCGGGCACTAAGTCACCATCGATAGAAAATGAAGGGTTAGCTCCAAGATTGTACGAACAGTACTCAGCAATAATAAGCACTTGTTAAAACAAACCTATTTGTGGCTGGCTGCTGTCAGCCGGTGGTGAAACCAGCCCGAGATGAAAACAAGACAACAAGCAATCTGCACCTCTGCACTTGCAGCAACCTCTGGCACAGCTGCTTCCTGCCGTCCAATTGTCTGTCTCTCTCTCTCTCTCTCTCTCGCTTTCTCGGTCTCTCTCTCTCTCTCTCTTTCTCGGTCTCTCTCTCCGTGGTTGGGCTTCTGGCTGCCGATGCTCATCTGATTTTTGGAATACATCGGAATCTTCCAGTTGCAAGTCAGCACGAGTGCTCGACGATCGTGCTTCACTTGACACGGGTGTCGCTGATCACGCTGGATCACACTATGAGTGAACGGGCAAGCCAGTCAAACGTGCCAAGAACAACCGCACAAAGAAGCAAACTCAAAAACGAGGAGCAGCCGCAGGAAGGCAAGGCATCTGACTCAACACATCTTTCTCTGCAAGACACTGCACCGTTTAAAGCCACATTCTTCTTGCGCACCCGTTAAGCCTACTTTCTCCGAGTTTAATGCAGTGCGAGCGAGATTGGAAACTACGCAGAGAAGCTGGCGATGTGTATCATGCAAGTGTGAGGCCCCCCAAGAAGCAGATAACCAAAACTGAGGACAGGGATATCCCATATCAATCCAAGTACAGATTTGGGGTCCCCAAAAATAACCGAATGCTGACCGCAACGGCCTCCAGGATTTCGCCCGGCTCTGCCTGCAAATCGTTCGTTTTAGGGTTTAGGGTTCAGGTGGAAATCAGAACCATCATTATAAAAATGATGGTGTCCTAAGGCTACAGGGCCGCACGGATTTTGGACCGCGGGCACTAAGTCACCATCGATAGAAAATGAAGGGTTAGCTCCAAGATTGTACGAACAGTACTCAGCAATAATAAGCACTTGTTAAAACAAACCTATTTGTGGCTAGCTGCTGTCAGCCGGTGGTGAAACCAGCCCGAGATGAAAACAAGACAACAAGCAATCTGCGCCTCTGCACTTGCAGCAACCTCTGGCACAGCTGCTTCCTGCCGTCCAATTGTCTGTCTCGCTCCCTTTCTCTCTCTCCCTCTCTCTCTGACTCTCTCTCTCTTTCTCGGCCTCTCTCTCCGCGGTTGGGCTTCTGGCTGCCGATGCTCATCTGATTTTTGGAATACATCGGAATCTTCCAGTTGCAAGTCAGCACGCGTGCTCGACGATCGTGCTTCACTTGACACGGGTGTCACTAATCACGCTGGATCACACTATGATTGAACGGGCAAGCCAGTCAAACGTGCCAAGAACAACCGCACAAAGAAGCAAACTCAAGAACGAGGAGCAGCCGCAGGAAGGCAAGGCATCTGACTCAACACATCTTTCTCTGCAACACACGAAACTGCGCAGAGAAGCTAGCGATGTGTATCTTTCAAGTGTGAGGCCCCCCCAAGAAGCAGATAAGCAAAACTGAGGACAGGGATATCCCATATCAATCCCAGTACAGAGGAGCCTAATAAGGTGGGCATATCCCTGTAGCATGCTTATGCTAATGCTAGTGCGCTTTTGGGGTCCCCAAAAAAACCGAATGCTGACCGCAACGGCCTCCAGGATTTCGCCCGGCTCTGCCTGCAAATCGTTCGTTTTAGGGTTTAGGGTTCAGGTGGAAATCAGAACCATCATTATAAAAATGATGGTGTCAAACGTCTACAGGGCCGCACGGAATTTGGACCGCGGGCACTAAGTCACCATCGATAGAAAATGAAGGGTTAGCTCCAAGATTGTACGAACAGTACTCAGCAATAATAAGCACTTGTTAAAACAAACCTGTTTGTGGCTAGCTGCTGTCAGCTGGTGGTGAAACCAGCCGCAGATGAAAACAAGACAACAAGCAATCTGCGCCTCTTCACTTGCAGCAACCTCTGGCACAGCTGCTTCCTGCCGTCCAATTGTCTGTCTCTCTCTCTCTCTCTCGCTTTCTCGGTCTCTCTCTCTCTCTCTCTCTCTCTCTTTCTCGGTCTCTCTCTCCGTGGTTGGGCTTCTGGCTGCCGATGCTCATCTGATTCTTGGAATACATCGGAATCTTCCAGTTGCAAGTCAGCACGAGTGCTCGACGATCGTGCTTCACTTGACACGGGTGTCGCTGATCACGCTGGATCACACTATGAGTGAACGGGAAAGCCAGTCAAACGTGCCAAGAACAACCGCACAAAGAAGCAAACTCAAAAACGAGGAGCAGCCGCAGGAAGGCAAGGCATCTGACTCAACACATCTTTCTCTGCAAGACACTGCACCGTTTAAAGCCACATTCTTCTTGCGCACCCGTTAAGCCTACTTTCTCCGAGTTTAATGCAGTGCGAGCGAGATTGGAAACTGCGCAGAGAAGCTAGCGATGTGTATCATGCAAGTGTGAGGCCCCCCAAGAAGCAGATAAGCAAAACTGAGGACAGGGATATCCCATATCAATCCCAATACAGAGGAGCCGAATAAGGTGGGGATATCCCTGTAGCATGCTTATGCTAATGCTAGTGCGCTTTTGGGGTCCCCAAAACAAACCGAATGCTGACCGAAACGGCCTCCAGGATCTCGCCCGGCTCTGCCTGAAAATCGTTCGGTTTAGGGTTTAGGGTTCAGGTGGAAATCTATACCCCCCTGAGAACCATCATTATTAAAAAAGATGGTGTCAAACGTCCCATGGCTTGTATCTGAACAACCTAAGGAGACTATGGAAATCGTTCGTTCGGGAAGCAACAGGGCCGCTGGGATTTTGGGCCGCGGGCACTAAGTCACCGTGGGCAGAAAATGAAGGCTTAGCTCCAAGATTGTACGTTCAGTACCCGGCAATACTCAGCACCCGTTTAAAAAACCTATTTGTGGCTAGCTGCTGTCAGCTGGTGGTGCAACCAACCGCAGATGAAAACAAGACAAACATCTGCGCCTCTGCACTTGCAGCAACCTCTGGCACAGCTGCCTCCTGCCATCCAATTAGCTGTCTCGCCCCCCCTCTCTCTCTCTTTCTTTCTTTTCTTCTCTCTCTCACTCTCTCTTATTCATTCTCTCTCTCTCTCTATATATATATATATATCTCTCTCTCTCTCTCTCTTTCTCTGGACGCCTTCCGTCTGTGGTTGGGCGGCTGGCCGCACATGCTCGGTTGATTCTGATTCCTGGTGGACAACATCGGAATCCTCCATTGCCGAGTTCGCCAGTCACTATGGGCTCTGACGTCTCACTGGAACACAGTAATTAAAAAAGAACGGCTGTGGGCTTTCGAATGCTTCTCAACCAGGGAACCTGTCAAAGGTGCCCACCACGAACCCCAAGCAGCTGCAAGAAAGGAAGACAACTCGACGACCGGCGGTATGCAACTCAACGCATCTTCTTTCTACAAGGCACTCACACCCCAAGCAGGGTGCACTGCGTGGAGCAGTACATGTGCTGCACACAGGTTCACCCCTAGTTTCTCTAAGCTTAGTGAAATGGCAACTAAACTGCAAATCGCGCAAGAAGCTGCTTGTCTCATGTAAACTGAATGATGACCGCAGTGGCCTGGAGCTCATCGTCCGGAACTGCCTGCAAATCAACAACGGTTGTGCCGGGAGCAGACGGGCCGCACGGATCCAAATCGCAGGCACCCAGAAGGGTTGCAGGGATTTAGGTCGCAGGCACCTGGATCGACGGTAAGCGAAACTCGGCACGAATTGAGAGATTAGTGCCAAGATCAAATGCTTTGTCCTCATAACCTATAAGTGCGGAATGAACAACCTATTTGCGGCTATCAAGCCGCAGAATACTTCGAAAATCTTCAAAACTCTGCAGTTGCAGCAACCTCTGGCACAGCTCATTTGATTCTGGGTGGCATACATCGGAATCCTCCAGTTGCCAGTCAGCACTCGGGCTCGACGATCGTGCTTCACTTGACACGGGTGGTGAGGATAGGGATATCCCATATCAATCCCAATACAGAGGAGCTTAATGAGGTAGGGATATCCTTGTAACATGCTTAAGCTAATGCTACTGCGCTGTTGGGGTCCCCAAAACAAACCGAATGCTGACCGAAACGGCCTCCAGGATCTCGCCCGGCTCTGCCTGAAAATCGTTCGGTTTAGGGTTTAGGGTTCAGGTGGAAATCTGTACCCCCCTTAGAACCATCATAATAAAAATGATGGTGTCCAACGTGTCATGGCTTGTATATGAACGAACTAAGGAGACTATGGAAATCGTTCGTTCGGGAAGCAACAGGGCCGCTTGGATTTTGTACGTTCAATACTCAGCAATGCTGAGCACCTGTTAAAAAACCTATTCGCGGCTAGCTGCTGTCAGCTGGTAGTGAAACCGCAGAAGATTTCAAGACAGACAAACACTCTGCGCCTCTGCAGTTGCAGCAACTTCTGGCACAGGTGCTTCCTGCCATCCAAGTGTGCGTCTCGCTTTTCTCAATCCCCCTGTCTGTCTCTCTCACTCTCTCTCTCTCTCTCTCTCTGTCTGCGCATGCGTGTCTATCTGTGGTCGGGCGGCTGGATGCACATGCTCGTAAGATTCTTGGTGGGAAACACCGTGGTCTTCCATTGCCAAGTTTGCTTGTCAGAACGTGCTCTGACGATCGTGCTTCATTTGACACGGATGTCACTGGATCGGATCACAGTATAAGAACACGTGCCCGAGGCAAATGCACAAAGAAACAACTCAGGAACGAGGAGCGGTTGTTCGGGCGGGTGGGGGTTTGGGGGGGCAGAGCAAGAAAGCAAGACAACAATCAGCGACCGGTGGCATGTAACTGAGCACAGCTTTCTCTTGCAGGCACTCATACCTCAAGCAGGGGGCACCGTTCAAAGCAAAAACCTTCTTGCACACACGCTCCGAGTCTAGTGAACTCGCAGTCTAGTGAACTCGCAGCAGCAAAGCGTAAACTGCGCAGAGAAGCTATACCATGATTGCAATGTGTCTCATGCAATTAACGGAATGATGACCGCAGCGGCCTGGAACTCCGCGTCCGGAACTGCCTGCAAATCAACAACGTTTGGTTCAGGGTGCAGAAGGGCCGCAGAGCACCTAGTTCCAGAATCATAGCAACATATAGCAACGGTCGGCAATAATTGAACAGCAACTGCAATCAATGTATGTTTATAGTTTATAGTACGCAGAAATGTATCGCTGTAAGCACCTGTTGTTAATCAACCTGCTTGCGGCTAGCTCCTGTCAACCGGTGGTACATCAAGCCGCAGACGATTTCAAGACACACGAACACTCTGCGCCTCTGCAGTCGCGGCAACCTCTGGCACAGCTGCTTCCTGGCGTTGAAGTTTCTGTTTCGACTTCTCAATCCCTCTCTCTGTCTCTCTCATTCTCTGCGCATGCGTGTCTATCTGTGGTCGGGCGGCTGAGTGCACATGCTCGTGGTGGAAAACGCCGGAATCTTCCATTGCCAGGCTTGCCAGTCAGTACGGGCTCTGACGATCGTGCTTTATTTGACACAGGTGTCAATGGATCACAATACAAGCGAACGGCCGTGGGCTTAGGCGTGCATCTCAACCAGGAACCTATCACACGTGCCCGAGACAAATACACAAAGAAACAACTCAGGAACGTGGAGCAACTGTTCGAATTCGGGTGGGGCACGCAAGAAAGCAAGACTACAATCAGCGATCGATGGCATGTAATTGAGCACAGCTTGCTCTTCGAGGCACTCATATACCTCAAGCTAGGTGCACCGTTCAAAGCCAAAACGTTCCTGCACGCACGTCAGCCCTACGTTCTCTGAGTCTAGTGAACTCGATGCAAAACGTAAACTGCGCAGAGAAGCTATACCATGACTGCAACGTGTCTCGTGCGAATGGAATGATGGTCGCAGCGGCCTGGAAATCCGCGTCCGGAACTGCCTGGAAATCAACAAGGGTTGGTTCGGGGAGCAGCAAGGCCGTAAGGATGTATGTCGGAGGGAACCTGGTTCGATGGTAGGTAACCGTCAGCACTAGTTGAACAGCTAGTGCAATCAATGTGTGATTATAGTTACGTACACCAAACCATAGCTAAGCACCGGCTTATAAGGAAGCTAGCTGTGACTTGTTGCGAGCTCCCGTCAACCGGTGGGTACATCAAGCCGCAGAGGATTTCAAGACACACGAACACTCTGCGCCTCTGCAGTCGCAGCAACCTCTGGCACAGCTGCTGCCTGCCGTCCAAGTGTCTGTTTCGACTTTCTCAATCCCTCTCTCTCTCTCTCTCTCTCATTCTCTGCGCGTGCGTGTCTATCTGTGGTCGGGCGGCTGACTGCACATGCTCGTGGTGGAAAACACCGGAATCTTCCACTGCCAGGCTTGCCACTCAGTACGGGCTCTTACGATCGTGCTTCGTTTGACATGCGTGTCGCTGGTTGGCCGTGGGCTTAGGAGTGCATCTGCATCTCATTCAGGAACCTATCAAACATGCCCGAAACAAAGCCACAAAGAGAAGCTATGACTGCAATGTGTCTCATGCAAATGGAAAGATGACTGCAGTGGCCTGGAACTCCTCGTCCGGAACTGCCTGCAAATCAACAACGTTTGGTTCGGGGTGCAGAAGGGCCGCAGGGATTTAGGTCGCAGGGAACTTGGTTCAAAGATAGGTAACCGTCAGCACTAATTGAACAGTTAAGGCAAGTACTTGTAGTGCATGTTCAGTACAGTGCTCAAAACCATGGTTCAGCACCGGTTAGGGAACCTGCATATGGCTAGCTCCTGTCAACCGGTGGCACATCAAGCCGCAGACAATTTCAAGACAAAAAGAACGCTCTGCGCCTCTGCAGTCGCAGCAATCTCTGGCACAGCTGCTTCCTGGCGTTGAAGTTTCTGTTTCGACTTCTCAATCCCTCTCTGTCTCCCTCTCTCTCTCTCACATTCTCTGCGCATGAGGTTCTATCTGTGGTGGGGCGGCTGAGTGCACATGCTCGTGGTGGAACACCGGAATCTTCCATTGCCAGGCTTGCCAGTCAGTACGGGCTCTGACGATCGTCCTTTATGACTTTATGAGACACAGGTGTCTATGGATCACAATACAAGCGAACGGCCGTGGGCTTGGGCGTGCATCTCAACCAGAAACCTACCACACGTGCCGGAGACAAACACACAAAGAAACAACTCAGGAACGTGGAGCAACTGTTCGAATTCGGGTGGGGCGGGCAAGAAAGCAAGACTACAATCAGCGATCGATGGCATGTAACTGAGCACAGCTTGCTCTTCGAGCCACTCATATACCTCAAGCAAGGTGCACCGTTCAAAGCCAAAACCTTCCTGCACACACGTCAGGCCTACTTTCTCGTAGTCTAGTGAACTCGAATCAAAACGTAAACTGCGCAGAGAAGCTATACCACGACTGCAAGGTGTCTCATGCAAATGCAATGATGGCCGCAGCGGCCTGGAACTCCGCGTCCGGAACTGCCTGGAAATCAACAAGGGTTGGTTCGGGGAGCAGCACGGCCGTAAGGATATGTATGTCGGAGGGAACCTGGTTCGATGATAGGTAACCGTCAGCACTAGTTGAACAGCTAGTGCGATCAATGTGTGTTTAGTTACGTACACCACACCATAGCTAAGCACCGGCTTATAAGGAAGCTAGCTGTGACTTGTTGCGAGCTCCCGTCAACCGGTGGGCACATCAAGCCGCAGAGGATTTCAAGACACACGAACACTCTGCACCTCTGCAGTCGCAGCAACCTCTGGCGCAGCTGCTTCCTGCCGTCCAAGTGTCTGTTTCGCTTGTCTCAGTCCCTCCCTCTCTTTCTCTCTCTCTCTCTCTCTTTCTCTCTCTCTCTCTCTCTCTCTCTCTCTCTCTCTCTCTCTCTCTCTCTCTCTCTCTTTCGCCAGGGTTATGGTGGAGGGTTTGTGGCCCTCTCTATCTGTCTATCTCTGCGCATGCTCGTGGTGGAAAACACCGGAAGCAACTGATCGAATTCGGGTCGGGCGGGCAAGAAAGCAAGACTACAATCAGCGATCGATGTCATGTAACTGAGCACGGCTTTCTCTTCGAGGCACTCAAACCTCAAGCAAGGTGCACCGTTCAAAGCCAAAACCTTGCTGCACACACGTCAGCCCTACTTCTCTGATTCGAGTGAACTCGATTCAAAACGTAAACTGCGCAGAGAAGCTATACCATGACTGCAACGTGTCTCATGCAAATGCAATGATGGCCGCAGCGGCCTGGAACTCCGCGTCCGGAACTGCCTGGGGAGCAGCAAGGCCGTAAGGATGTATGTCGGAGGGAACCTGGTTCGATGGTAGGGAACCGTCAGCACGAGTTGAACAGCTAGTGCAATCAATGTGTGATTATAGTTACGTACACCAAACCATAGCTAAGCACCGGCTTATAAGGAAGCTAGCTGTGACTTGCTGCGAGCTCCCGTCAAACGGTGGGCACATCAAGCCGCAGCAAATTGCAAGACACACGAACACTCTGGGCCTCTGCAGTCGCAGCAACCTCTGGCACAGCTGCTTCCTGCCGTCCAAGTGTCTGTTTCGACTTTCTCAATCCCTCTCTCTCTCTCTCTCTCTCTCTCTCATTCTCTGCGCATGCGTGTCTATCTGTGGTCGGGCGGCTGACTGCACATGCTCGTGGTGGAAAACACCGGAATCTTCCACTGCCAGGCTTGCCACTCAGTACGGGCTCTGACGATCGTGCTTCGTTTGACATGCGTGTCGCTGGTTCACAGTACAAGTGCAAGGCCGTGGGCTTAGGAGTGCATCTGCATCTCATTCAGGAACCTATCAAACATGCCCGAAACAAAGCCACAAAGAGAAGCTATGACTGCAATGTGTCTCATGCAAACGGAAAGATGACTGCAGTGGCCTGGAACTCCTCGCCCGGAACTGCCTGCAAATCAACAACGTTTGGTTCGGGGTGCAGAAGGGCCGCAGGGATTTAGGTCGCAGGGAACTTGGTTCAAAGATAGGTAACCGTCAGCACTAATTGAACAGTTAAGGCAAGTACTTGTAGTGCATGTTCAGTACAGTACTCAAAGCCATGGCTCAGCACCGGTTAGGGAACCTGCATATGGCTAGCTCCTGTCAACTGGTGGCACTTCAAGCCGCAGACAATTTCAAGACAAACGAACGCTCTGCGCCTCTGCAGTCGCAGCAATCTCTGGCACAGCTGCTTCCTGGCGTTGAAGTTTCTGTTTCGACTTCTCAATCCCTCTCTGTCTCCCTCTCTCTCTCTCACATTCTCTGCGCATGAGGTTCTATCTGTGGTGGGGCGGCTGAGTGCACATGCTCGTGGTGGAACACCGGAACCTTCCATTGCCAGGCTTGCCAGTCAGTACGGGCTCTGACGATCGTGCTTTATGACTTTATGAGACACAGGTGTCTATGGATCACAATACAAGCGAACGGCCATGGGCTTGGGCGTGCATCTCAACCAGAAACCTACCACACGTGCCCGAGACAAATACACAAAGAAACAACTCAGGAACGTGGAGCAACTGTTCGAATTCGGGTGGGGCGCGCAAGAAAGCAAGACTACAATCAGCGATCGATGGCATGTAACTGAGCACAGCTTGCTCTTCGAGGCACTCATATACCTCAAGCAAGGTGCACCGTTCAAAGCCAAAACCTTCCTGCACACACGTCAGCCCTACTTTCTCGGAGTCTAGTGAGCTGGATGCAAAACGTAACCTGCGCAAAGAAGCTATACCATGACTGCAACGTGTCTCATGCAAATGCAATGATGGCCGCAGCGGCCTGGAACTCTGCGTCCGGAACTGCCTGGAAATCAACAAGGGTTGGTTCGGGGAGCAGCAAGGCCGTAAGGATATGTATGTCGGAGGGAACCTGGTTCGATGGTAGGTAACCGTCAGCACTTCACTAGTTGAACAACTAGTGCAGTCAATGTGTGTTTAGTTACGTACACCAAACCATAGCTAAGCACCGGCTTATAAGGAAGCTAGCTGTGACTTGTTGCGAGCTCCCGTCAACCGGTGGGCACATCAAGCCACAGCAAATTTCAAGACACACGAACACTCTGCGCCTCTGCAGTCGCAGCAACCTCTGGCACAGCTGCTTCCTGTCGTCCAAGTGTCTGTTTCGACTTTCTCAACCCCTCCCTCTCTCTATCTCTCTCTCTCTCTCTCTCTCTCTCTCTCTCTCTCTCTGTCTCTCTCTCTCTCTCTCTCTCTCTCTCTCTCTCTCTCTCTTTCATTCTCTGCGCATGCGTGTCTATCTGTGGTCGGGCGGCTGACTGCACATGCTCGAAGTGGAAAACACCGGAATCTTCCACTGCCAGGCTTGCCACTCAGTACAGGCTCTGACGATCGTGCTTCGTTTGACATGCGTGTCGCTGGTTCGCAGTACAAGTGCAAGGCCGTGGGCTTAGGAGTGCATCTGCATCTCATTCAGGAACCTATCAAACATGCCCGAACCAAACCCACAAAGAGAAGCTATGACTGCAATGTGTCTCATGCAAATGGAAAGATGACTGCAGTGGCCTGGAACTGCTCGTCCGGAACTGCCTGAAAATCAACAACGTTTGGTTCGGGGTGCAGAAGGGCCGCAGGGATTTAGGTCGCAGGGAACTTGGTTGCGCCTCTGCAGTCGCAGCAATCTCTGCCACAGCTGCTTCCTGGCGTTGAAGTTTCTGTGTCGACTTCTCAATCCCTCTCTGTCTCCCTCTCTCTCTCTCTCTCACACATTCTCTGCGCATGCGTGTCTATCTGTGGTGGGGCGGCTGAGTGCACATGCTCGTGGTGGAACACCGGAATCTTGCATTGTCAGGCTTGCCAGTCAGTACGGGCTCTGACGATCGTGCTTTATGACTTTATGAGACACCGGTGTCAATGGATCACAATACAAGCAAACGGCCGTGGGCTTGGCGTGCATCTCAACCAGAAACCTACCACACGTGCCCGAGACAAATACACAAAGAAACAACTCAGGAACGTGGAGCAACTGTTCGAATTCGGGTGGGGCGGGCAAGAAAGCAAGACTACAATCAGCGATCGATGGCATGTAACTGAGCACAGCTTGCTCTTCGAGGCACTCATATACCTCAAGCAAGGTGCACCGTTCAAAGCCAAAACCTTCCTGCACACACGTCAGCCCTACTTTCTCGTAGTCTAGTGAACTCGATTCAAAACGTAAACTGCGCAGAGAAGCTATACCATGACTGCAACGTGTCTCATGCAAATGCAATGATGGCCGCAGCGGCCTGGAACTCCGCGTCCGGAACTGCCTGGAAATCAACAAGGGTTGGTTCGGGGAGCAGCAAGGCCGTAAGGATGTATGTCGGAGGGAACCTGGTTCGATGGTAGGTAGCCGTCAGCACTAGTTGAACAGCTAGTGCAGTCAATGTGTGTTTAGTTACGTACACCAAACCATAGCTAAGCACCGCCTTATAAGGAAGCTAGCTGTGACTTGTTGCGAGCTCCCGTCAACCGGTGGGCACATCAAGCCGCAGCAAATTTCAAGTCACACGAACACTCTGCGCCTCTGCAGTCGCAGCAACCTCTGGCACAGCTGCTTCCTGTCGTCCAAGTGTCTGTTTCGACTTTCTCAACCCCTCCCTCTCTCTATCTCTCTCTCTCTCTCTCTCTGTCTCTCTCTCTCTCTCTCTCTCTCTAACATTATCTGCGCATGCGTGTCTATCTGTGGTCGGGCGGCTGACTGCACATGCTCGTGGTGGAAAACACAGGAATCTTCCACTGCCAGGCTTGCCACTCAGTACAGGCTCTGACGATCGTGCTTCGTTTGACACGCGTGTCACTGGATCACAGTACAAGTGCAAGGCCGTGGGCTTAGGAGTGCATCTCATTCAGGAACCTATCACACGTGCCCGAATCAAACCCACAAAGACAAGCTATGACTGCAATGTGTCTTGCAAATGGAATGATGACTGCAGTGGCCTGGAACTCCTCGTCCGGAACTGCCTGAAAATCAACAATGTTTGGTTCGGGGTGCAGAAGGGCCGCAGGGATTTAGGTCGCAGGGAACTTGGTTCAAAGATAGGTAATCGTCAGCACTAACTGAATAGTTAAGTCAAGTATTTGATGTTTAGTACAGTACTCAAAACCATGGCTCAGCACTGGTTAAGGAACCTCCTCATGGCTGGCTCCTGTCAACCGGTGGCACATCAAGCCGCAAAAGATTTCAAGACAAACGAACACTGTGCGCCTGTGCAGTCGCAGCAATCTCTGGCATAGCTGCTTCCTGCCGTCCAGGTGTCTGTTTCGACAATCTCAATCCCTGTTCCTCCCTCTCTCTCTCTCTCTCTCTCTCTCTCTCCTCTCTCTCTCTCTCTCTCTCTCTCTCTTTGTTTCGCCAGGGCTATGTTGGAGCCTTTGTTGCCCCCTCCCCCCTCTCTCTCTGTCTCGCTCTCTCTCTCCCTTTCTCTCCCTGCTTTGCTCGGGGCTTGGAGCGGGAGCTCTCTCTCTCTCTCTCGCTCTCTCCCTCAGCTTTCTCTTCGAGGCACTCATACCTCAAGCAAGGTGCACCGTTCAAAGACAAAAACTTCTTGCACGCACGCGCTGAGAGCTAGTTTCTCCGAGTCTAGTGAACTCAATATCAAAACGTAAACTGCACAGAGAAGCTGTACCATGACTGCAATGTGTCTCATGCAAATGGAGTGGTGACCGCAGCGGCCTGGAACTCCGCATCCGGGACTGCCTGGAAATCAACAAGGGTTGGTTCGGGGAGCAAAAGGGACGCAGGGATTTAGGCTGCAGTTACGTGGCTCGATGGTAAGTGACCGTGGAACTACTTGAAAGAGAAGCTTCAAGATTGTTTGCTTAGTATTCAGAACCGTAGCTAAGGATCTGTTGAGGAACCTTCTTGTGGCTAGCTGCTGTCAAGAAACGCGAACACTCTGCGCCTCTGCAGTTGCAGCAACCGCTGGCACAGCTGCCTCCTGCTGTCGAGGTGTCTGTTTCGCCATCTTTCTCGATCCATCCATCTCTCTCTCTCTCTCTCGCTCTCGCTCTGCGCATGTGCGTCTGGCCGTGGTTGTTGTGCAGCTGGTTGCACATGCTCGTAAGATGCTTGGTGGAAAACACCGGAAACTTCCATTGCCAGGCTTGCCAGCCAATACGGGCACGAATGGCGTCACTGGATCAAAATCTGAGTGAAGGGCCGTACCGTAGGGTTTGTAGTTCTTCTCAACAAAGGAGCCAATCAAACGTGCTCAGAACATATGCACAAAGAAGGCTCGAGAACGAAGAGCAGCTGCAAGACAGCAACCCAACCATCGACGAGAACTGTCGGCGGGCAACTCAACACATGATTCTCTCCGAAGCATGGCTGGTCCAAACAAGGTGCGCCGGTTAAAGCAGAAATTGTCTGGCATCTAGTAACCCGGAAACCAAAAGGGAAACTGCGCAGAGAAGCTATGGCCCATGGCTGCCGTGTGTCTCATGCAAACTGACAGACGACAGCAGCGTCCTGGAACTCTCCGTCCGGGACTGCCTAGAAATCAACAAGGGTTGGTCACCGGCACCCGTTTCGACGGTAAATCTGTTTAACCGTCGACATCAAATCGGGGAACGTGTGGCAATACAAAAGGTCTAATTACAAGAGTCTACGAATCTGTTCGAGGCTGGCGCAGAACTTTGCAAACCATCAGCCCTTGCTCTTGCTCTGAGACTGAAAGAAACAGACGGACAAAAAGAGAGAGAGAGAGAGAGGGAGAGGAATCCTGAACTCCGAACAGACAGCACCAATTACAGAGGCCTCCCGCGCACCAAGACTTCTACCATTCCATAGAGGATCGCGGAAAAGGGCACGAAATGATCACATCGCTGAACATGTAAGGTTTTGGGCACGTGTCCTGGAATGCATCGTGAGAAAAGCTGGATACCGCCAGCACCACACCTATGAGAACAGCTATATATACATATATACATATGTATATATATCTACATATATATATATATACATACATACATACATACACCCAAACATATCAAGACAAACACGCACTCTCCGCCTCCGTTGTGGGAGCAGGCTCTGGCAGTACTGCTTCCTGCAGTCCAAGTATCGCTTTCGCTGTCTCTGGGTGTCTGCGGCGGGGGGGGACGTTTATTCCGGACACTATCTATTGAAAAACTTATAAGTATCAAAACCCAAAAAAGGATACTTTTGCGTCTACTTTCTTCAGCCAGAGTACGCTGCGACGATCGTGTTTCGTTTTGCTTGTCGCTGGTCGGGCTTGGAGTGCCACAAAGTAGGGGAAGCGGTCAAAAATGCACAGAAGCAACGCAAAAGGAAACACCTTCAAGAATGAAAAGTAACTGCTGAAGAATGCTGCGGTTGCCGTACAAACTTTACACCTTACACCAGCCACGAAGCTCAACACGGGACTCTCTTCGAGGCACTCATACCCAAAGCGGTCTCAAGCAATAGAGCTCTTGCAGAGTCTATTATTGGCAGTGAACAAAAGTCTGACGCACACTAAACCCCAAAACATCCTGGAACCCTAAACCTGACTAAGGGCTTTGGGTCGGAAAAATGGCATCCATGTCTGGAGGGAACATAAGGAGATAGTACTACTCGGAACAAAACCTGTAATTCTGAACCCACCACCGTAAAGCTAAAACCCTACACCCCTGAACCCTTTCCCCAAACCACTTGTCCCCCGGCCTCTTCACGGCCGCCATAACCCCGAGGGATCTGCCTCCGCGGCTCATGTCGGTTCGATTTAAGGGTTCCTTTAGCAGGACGCCTCGATAAACCCTTTCATCCAAAGGTAAAGGGACCCTTAATAAGGACCGCCAGGTATATACCCTTAGCGTGGCTATTATGTACCCATTCTATAGCCCATTATAGGGTAGGGTCCCCATTAAGGGTCCCTCCTTTACCCCTTTGATTAAAAAGGAAGCTTCAACGCAAACGTTGAAGAGTTCCTGTGAAAGATTCCCTTCAGGATGCCTGTAAAATCTTAGAGGGCTTACGGTTTAAGGCGCAGAGCTCCCAGCCTGAAACTCTGACACCAGCTTACTTAAAGGGTCATGGGACTTAGTAACTAGGGTTACAGTTAAGGTAGTTTTACTTAGAATTAGATATAACCCCAAGTAAGGATACTTATAACCCTACTTGCTCAGTCCCATCATCCTCCAAGTAGAGCCTGGTGCTCAGTGTTGCGAGGCCTAAAGCCAAGAAGTCTGTAACTGCGAAGACCCTGGCCTTCGTCTGAGCAAATCCAGATGTTACTAGTGCGGTTCATGGTTTAGAGGGTTTCCCTTAGGGTTGAAACCGTTTAGCGTGCAGGGTTTTCGGGTTCAGTGAGCCTGGCCTAGCCTACCCACGAACAACTTTCAACGAACCCTAAACCCGCCCTAAACCCTAAACCCAAACCCTAAACCCTAAACCATAAATCCTAAACCCTAAACCTGTCATCACCGAGCTCCCCGCCCAAACCCTTAGCCCTAAAGCACGAAGCCGAAAAACACCAAAGCCTGAACCTCCAAGCCCTCAACCCCACCCACGACCGCTCAAGTACCCTTTAAAGGGCTCTCATATTTATCATGAAGAGGTAATCGGGGACTATTATACAGAGTATTTCGCGGGTCTAGGAAAGCCAACACCTTAGAAGGCTTGGCATCCCAAAAACTCAGGCCATGACGGCTGAGCGAAGGGAGAATATGCCGGCAGGCTGGCGCGCAGCCTTGCCCCCCAAAGGTGTCTAGCTTCCGGGGTTTAGGGTTTAGGGCTTCGGGGTTTCTATGGGGTTTCGGGAATTTCGGGTTTTACGGTGGTGTCGTCGGGTTGATGTTCGTAAAGATTGAAACTAGATTGAAACACATCGTGTGGAGGGTTTAGGTAAAGTTTAGAGCTTAAGTTTTGAAGCCTTTAACCCTACACCCTAAACCCTAAAACCCCAAACCGGGCAGAGGATGCATGGATGCTTCGGGTTCAGTTTGGGCTTCGGGGCTACATCGACCTCCCGCTGTCAAAACCTCTTGCTAGGGATCTAACTTCTTGCCACTCACAGTCGGTCATCCAAAGTAGAACTGCGCATGGTTACCCTAAACCCTAAACCCCTAAACCCTAAACCGCTGAACCCCCAAACCCTAAACGTCGGTCATCCAAAGTAGAACCGTGCATGGTTGAACCCACAAGTTAATGTAGGGTTCAGGGTGTCGGCCAGGGCCTAAGCCCTGGGTTTAGGGTTTAGGGATTTGGGGTTTAGGGTTTACGGTTTAGGCTTAAATCCTTACAACCCTTGAAGGGTGGGAGTAGCAGCAGAAGTGCAGCAGCAGTCCTGCGACTTATCTTCGGAGGAAGGAAGAGCAAACTCAGCAAGGCGGTCTACGCTTAAACCCTACTTCTAACATTCCGGCAGTACTGCAGACACTGATCCTTCAAGTAGTGGTAATCACATCCAATGCTCTTTTCAAGTCTTCCCCACAGGGTCCAAGTACCCAAATAGCAGGGTTTCAGGTTCCAAAACCCATACTCTAGATGGTTTTGGGACCTTGAAACCCTACTATTTGGGTACTTGGACCCTCTGGGTTCTAGACGGGGTTGAGCAGCCTCAAATCAATTGGGAGATTGAGCCACTTGTAGTCTGCGGCCGGTGATGGGTAACCCCAAATGCCCGCAGCAGCAAGAAGCCGACATCTCAACAGTCTAACAACAAAGATGTGACTCTGACTCAATATAGGGGACGCACCAATTACAATAGGGTTTTGGGGCCCTTTGTACTATAACTATAGTGAGGAGCCCCCAAAATAGTGTTGGTATTTATTTAAGCCCCTATATTCAATCCCTATAATAGCACTTATCTACGACTTCGAACCGTGCCAATTTGTCTTCGACCAAGCGACGGCGATGGTGGAACGGCAGCTGGCGGTGCATGATCCTCTTCGCCTGTCATCTGTTCCAATGCTGAGTGCTCTCAAAAGGCTGAAAGGCTAACTTCTAGGATCTCAACATTTTAACTTTTAACTCCTAAAACACCGAATCCTTCCAACCTAGTCCCCAGACCCACAAACGCTCGAGATCTTCGAGGGAAAAGACATAAAGAGGTGAAGGGGTCTGCAGAGCTTGCCAAGGCCCCTCAGAAAGAGCTCAACCATGCAATGTCATGCGGTTTGGGGTTTAAAGGTTACAGCGTAGTGGGTTTTCAGGGTCTAGGGTTGCGTTGGCGTGGGAAACAGAACATGGGAAGCGTCACTGTCACGGACTCTTCTATAGGGGACCAGAAGAAAGAGCCGCTAGGTCTCAGCTACTGACTGATAGTCTTAGTCCAAGGGCCCTAATAATGACGAACACGGAGCGACAATCACTGCCTCGCTGTCCGTTATAGCGCAGTTTCGGACTGTGAGTTCATGGCTTAGGGTTTCAATTTTGCGATGACGATTTACGGCTTAGGGTGTAAATGCAGGATCCGACACCCCAAAACCCACTCACTGCAAAGTCGCGCAAGCCGATTGGAACACAAACCGCAAAACCCCGAACATTCAAATATGAAACCCAGACCCGAGACAATAAGGTAAAAGCCAGAAAGTTGGAATATGATTATCCTAAGCCCTTTATGGTAAATTATAAGGTATCCTACCCTGAAACCATCTTCCAACTTTCTGGAGTTCCCTGTATTACTATGAGAATTATTCTGACCCTACATTGTAGTCCAATCGTCCAGGTTTTTCAGTTGCCACAATAGTATGCCCTTTCATCTAACCTATACTGACTACTGCGACCCCTATCGTAGGATGAACTGCTAGGTGGCCGTTGTCTTCCGAGCCAGAAGAGTGCCCTTAGCTCCAGACCTCGATTCTAGAAGCCTCAAACCTAAACCCTGAACCTTGAACATCTATATAAGCCCCTAAACCCCCTAAGCCCTAACCCTAACCCCTAATCCCTAATCCCTAAATCTCGAAAAACCCTAAACCCCCCAAGCCCAAAACCATCCTGAACCTCCTAGAAACCCCGGAACGTCCAAAGTCGGCTCTGCCTTGCTCTCCCAAAGCTGGCGGCTTTCCCTTGAAACCGGAGCTGTGGGTTTAGGGATCAGGGCTTATGAGGTTCTAAACCGTGAAACCTAAACGAATGAAGGATCCTTTGAAACTGCATTTCTTCTTCAGTATTAGAGGCTGAGTACCCTAGCCAAAGGAAGGAACACGTTTTCAAATTGTAGTAGTTGTATATCAGCCACAAGAGGTTAAAGGTTACCTGCTTAGCCCGTAAGATTCGTTTAAGGTCCATGGCTGAAACGAAGCCTAGGGGCCTCTTGTGCGTCTAGTTACTCCGGCTTCAGCTTACCTTGTTAATGAATAGGGTGTGGGGGCCCATTTCTCTAAATTATAAAAAGGAACCCCACAATAGTATTGGTAATTATTTAGGCCCTTACATTAACCTCAAAGCCTCAACCCTCAAAAAACCTCACTCCCAACCGGGCCCTGCACTCCTACTTCAACCCCAAACCCAATCCTGAGCTCTCCGCCGCAAGCCCTAAACTCCTAAACACCTGAATTCCTAAAGCTCAAACAGTCAGGCTCCTAAAATTTGAAAGGAGATCCCTTAAGGAGGTTCCTGTAAAGTACTCTTTGGTAGTTAGGGTCCCAACCCACGGGATCTAATGGTAGGAACCTGATTAAGAAACCTTGGGTCTTTATTAGGGTTCCTTCTTCTTAATCAGGTTCCTACCTAGAGTCTCCATTGTAGTTCCTTTTTTGGCTAACCAGTTCTATGGTTAGGATCCTATAATATAGATTTTGGCCACCGAAAAATATGAACTACGATGGAAACTGTAAGTACATTAGTTTCATAGATCCTCCCGGGGGTCTGGGTAGGATTACCCTAAACCCTAAACCCTAAGCCCTAAACCCTAAACCCTAAACCCTAAACCCTAAACCCTAAACCCTAAACTGTATGGCCGAGGTTTGGGGCCAACAGGCTCCCCGGCTCTTGAAGCCAACATCACCCAACAAAGGGCGCAACTCTTAGGGTTTGGGGTTTAAGGTTTAGGGCGCAACTCTGCGTTGGAATTCCGAGATGTTGTGGTCTCGGGTTGGAGTTCAGCGTTGGAGGGTTTAAGGCTTTATTTTCGAGCTTTGCTTTAGCTGCGGCTCATTGTTGGGCTAGCTTCTTGCAGGACCAGGTCAGAGTATTGCAAGCCGGTTCTGAATCCTGCCTGAGACGACAGGCAGCTCTTCAAGTATGGCAGATATGGGAGTCTCCGAAAGTAAGGGACCCTAAAATAGTACCCTAAATAGGAGGATCCTTATTATAAGGACCCCAAAACAAGGTACCCCTCATTTTCGGAAAATCCCATATCTAACTTCAGAACCGAAAGGCACCATGACTTTCTTTCGCGTGCGGCATTCATATGCAGCAAACACCCTAAGCCCGACAAGCCCTAACCCACAACCGCACAACAAGGACAACAACCCTCGAAGACTACTGCTGCGGTTTCACACTGTTTAGGACCTACCCCATACACTCTTGAGACACCTGGGCCGCCAATCAGAATGCGTGCTGTGAACTTGCCTCGCCGGCGCCCTCTGGATCACCCTCAGGGTCTGCGATGGGTGCAGGTGCCTAGTCGAGGTGCCACAGCGTTTAAGCTATAGAGTAATTGACATATGCTGGTGTAGATATGTATATATATATATATATATACATACATACATACATACATACATATATATATATGTATCTTGATTCGCTACTGTAAAATTCTGAGCCGTGAATGTTCGTGGCGCAGGAATGGGAGTTTAATATTCAATGAGGTTCAAGGAGGAGGCGTCTAGAATTGTCGGATTTACCTCATGGTCGCAGTTCACCATGTTTTTGCTCATTGTCGTTGCTTGGTGTAAAGATCATGGATTTTCATGTGCATGAAGCCTAGGGGTTCCGATTCGGCTTGGTGTAAATTCTACTATATAGCTAGTCCTGGCGGTCTTCCTGTTGCTTTCAATGTCGACATAAGGTCAGCAATATAGAGTCCTTTATGGTTACTGATATCGTATTAATTGAAGCTCCTTAGTATAGGTGTACAAAGATCACGTAACCTGAAGAACTGGACAGGACTCGAAGCGCTGGAAGTGGGAGAACCTAGTAGGTGCAACAGTTCCATTCTTCCGTTATTCTTGCAAGTGGTCGCCAAACAACACTTACCACACCAACCATACCGTGTGTGACACAGGCTGCCCGCAACAAAGCACCACAGGGCCCCTCACTTCAAAATCTGAGACTTTACACAGTGCTTGCGTCCTCCTGAAGCTAAGCCCATGTTTCTCTAAAGGGACAATTCCGACGACTCTCGGAAAAAGAACCCAGCATTCGCCCTGGACTACATGTGCTGTTCGATGCGCAGAACGTTGGGGAGCGTTCCGGGTTTCTGGACAGGAAATCCTACATTCATCAAATCATCACCCAACACCTTAACCCCAACACCTAATCTCAAACCCCTCCTAAACCCCGATAAACGTTAAAGCCCTAAGCCCCTACAATCCCTAAAATCTAAAACTTCATAAAGCCCGATAAACCTTGAAGCCGTAAGCCCTTACAAACCCTGAATCCCAAAATCTAATCTCAAATTTCATAAACCCCAATACACAATGAATAAAGCCCTAAGCCCCTACAATAACCCTAAGCCCGGATAAACCCTCCCTAAACCTCTAAACCCCTAAACCCCCAAACCCCGAAACCCATAAACCCCTTAACCCCTAAAACCCCAATACCCTCGAAACCCGCAACCGATCTTCTAGGGCCCTGCCTGGCCGAAAGGTGATGTGGCGAAGGGAGATGCTCGAGCCTTGTCACGGTTTCAGCATTTGAGCCAGAAGTAGGGTTTATGGGGGTTTAGGGTCTACATGAGGTTTAGGGTTTGCGGTTTAGATTTTCAGGGTTTAGGAATAAGGATTATATGGGGACCGTTGGGGATATGGACCCTCTCAGAAAAGCCCCTTTTGAGAGTTCCATAAATACGGTTAAGACGATTAAGAAGAGTTTCCTTTAAGGGGTCTCCCTAATACCACCTAGGATTGTCACGGTTTCGACTTTTCTTTCCGGCGGGTCGGGTCATGGGGCTCACGGTTTACAGGGGTTTAGAATTTAGGATTAAGAGGCTTTCGGGGCTTAGGGGGTTTAGGGTTTAGGGTTTAGGGTTTAGGGTTTAGGGTTTAGGGTTTAGGGTTTAGGGGTGAGGGATTTGAAGATTCTTGGTTGGTTTTGGGTGGTTTGGAAGCTTGATTCGGGGGTTAAGTGCTTCAGGGCTTAAATTAAGGCTGCGGGTCGACAGTCCAGGCATGCGCTTGAGGTTTGTCAAGCATCTGATTCCAAATTTCAAAATGCTCATCAACTCAAGTGCAGCATGTCCACATGCGACTCTTTGCTGGTCTGGTTCAACCGTATATGAAAACTACAAGTCCTTATAGGACTGCATCTTGTTGCTTGCAGTGCGAAATGAACAGTCTGAAGATACAGCTCTTTGGGAGCATAAGCTTTCGTACCCCGACTACAGGGGTCTAGACCCTCAATTCTGGGATGGTCTTTCCGAGAAACTCTAGAGAAGGACGGTGAACGGAGCAGAGCCAGGCCAAAAAATGTACAACTCTCTCCATGGTAATGCCTGGCGCCCGAAGCCATAGACACATATCCTTTCCAGCTGGTTCTAGGGTTGATGATATAAATCCTGCATTACCTTAAGGACCCTAAACTATGGGAATTATGGTATATTCCTTATTATGGGTCATGCAGGGTTTATATCATCAACCGTACAGCAGGTGTCACCCAACAGCTCAGAATTAGTGCTAACTACGCCTCTAAAGTAAACCACAAGGGACATTCAAAAGAAACATTCGAAATCGATACCGGCTGATGATCTAAATCCTGCATTACCCACAGCGAGGAATATACCATATTATCCCATCTTAGGGTCAATAAGTTAATGCAGGATTAATATCATCACAGGTGCCTAAATTATCCATTGAAATCCTTTTTGTGGCCACCTTCATAGGATCCTTAATATATAGATGATGAAAGCAGAAAAAAGGAACTACAATGGAGACTTTAGGTACGAATGATGATCTAAATCCTGCATTACCTTAATGGCCCTCGACTATGGGAATTATGGCATATGCTTAATGCAGGATTTATATCATGAACCGTAGTACAGGTTGGGGGCTCCTAAACCCAAAACCCTAAAACCCCAAAACCCTAAAACCTAAAACCCTAAAACCCCAAACCCTAAACCCTAAAATCCTAAAACCCCAAAACCCTAAAACCCTACAAGTTGGGGCTCCGGCGGAGACCTTTGCAGGGGGCTGCTTCTTTTCTTTGGATTTCTCCTGGCGCCTCGCGCTCTCCCTGGCGGCAGGCGGTCAAGGGGCGAAAGGCACTGAACTACTTAAAGGCTCAGGGTTCCTGTTAAGGGTACTATAGGGCTCTTAAAGGGTCATGGGACTTAGTAACTAGGGTTTAGGGTTCCTGTTCCTGTTAAGGGTGCTATAGGGTTCAGAGTAGGGTTACCTTTAAGGGTCTAGGGTTTAGGGTCTACTCAAAGGGTCATGGGACTTAGAAACCAGGGTTATAACTAAGGTAACTATACTTGTAATTACTTATAACCTCGATTAGGGTACTTATAACCTTACCCTCCAAGTAGGGTTGATGATAGAAATCCTGGGGTTCCTTTAGAGGGATCTATAAAGGTTCCTCTTTGGGGTTCCTTTAAGGGATCTATAGGGTTTTAGGGTTAACGGCTTATAGGGATTAGGGTTTAGGTCGATGATAGATATCCTGCGTTACCTTAAGGACCCTAAACTATGGGAATGTATACCTTATTATGGGTATTGCAGGAATTACATCATCAACCGTGTGGGTACATAATTCCAGCACCGCTGGTGCACGTGACTACAGCTGTCGCTTGTTCGTGTTCATAGACATGCAACACACTGACAGCCTGTTCGACATGACTACGCTAAGGCACAAGCTCCTCATCAGCATGACTGATGATGTCCTGTAGACATAGAACTGGCTCAGAGTTCTTTCGTCAGATGCCACATGATCCTGCAGTGTAGAATAGCCACGATGTGGGAGTTTCCGCAAATAGGGGTACTTTTTTGGTGTCCTTATGATAAGGATCCTACTCTTTAGGGTACTGTACTATATTAGGGTCACGTATGTTCGGACACTCCCATCTGATGATGATGATCATAACAATCAATGATGACAACAGTGATAACAACAATTATAACGGTAACGCACATTGCTTGTCGGTGGAAGCTCATCTCATGGTTTCTTACCATGAGCCTTATATTCTGACATGCGCCCGACTGCTGCACTACAGCAGGTACTGAGAATGATACACGGTGCCCAGAAGCACACCACCTATATACATCCCTATACCAGACAATGCAAGCCTCATGGAATTTCAACCCCTTGTAAACCACCACCCCCTGAATCACTTAAGTGTTGAACCTCCAACCCCCCGGACAAAAATGAACGGCATCTTCCTTTAAAGGTCGCAACAGCCAGCTGCCTGAAGCCCTTGGGGGCGTGAGGATTGACACTGCCTGCGGGGTCCAGGATGCGGGGTCCAGGAAACCTACTGCGCAGGGTTTACGGGTAGTTCTCCCTTGTTTAGGATCGCTTTTGGCTTTGAGGAGTTAGGATCTTCCGGGAGTTTTCAGCGTCCGTATGTAGGGTTTATTGCCGGTTTATAGAAAGCATGGGCAGTCTGCTGAACTTGCTTCGTGCCCATAAGAGCAAAGAGTCGGGTACGTACCCCTGCCAACTTCTGTTTGACACAATGCTTCCTAGGGATACGACCGGGTCACAGTTGTCACGGACATTAACCGAAGGGGCACTGCCATGCTCCATCGACAGTTCGAAGTGTTCAGCTGCTGCTTAAAGCCATGGGTTCTTTAGCCTCGCAATCTAGGGCTAAGTTTTCGCCTACGACTTTTAGCCCGAGAATCCCCAAACCCCACTTTGGGGAAACTGTGAGGGTTTGGGTTTAGGGGTTTTCTGGGGTGTAGTTCCCGGGGTTCAGTTTTTAGGGCTTCTTTTGGGGGTGAAAAAAGGGGGGTCCACGGCCTTAAATCATTTCGAATCCTTGGTGGGCTTTTTGATGGGGCGGCCTTTAGAGTTTATAGAGTTTATGGGTTTTGTGGTAGGCTTTTCAAGTTAGGGTACACTTAGAACGATTAGGGGAGCTCGTTCGGCTTTGCGGTTATCCCGGCTTTACAAGCCTGCTTACTTGCAGCCAGCTTGGTGCCTGCCTGGTGTGGGGGCGCAGGGTCCCTAGAGATTCCACAGATTTAAAGGATGGAGTGTCGGGTTTGCGCCGTAAGCATACTAGCGACCACAACGCCGCATGATATTGACTATGACCAGAGCGAGAAAGACAACAGCAATCCATCCTCAGAACTTCCTCGTCCATGGTTGTCCAATATCGGTTGTTCGGTCAGCACTTTCGGGTTTGGGCTGTCAGGGTTGGCTATGCCCCAAGCCCAAAACCCCATAAATCTCTCTCAAGTCCTGCTTTGCAGTTTCGGGCTGACGGTTGAAGGCATGTCGCTCTCTGCCATCTATCTCGAAGGAGCCCTAGTAAAAGCAACTGAAGCCAAGACATCACTCCACAAACATACAAAGTTCCTGAAACTCCACCGCTGAACAAAGAATGCCAAATCGCCCATGCACCTCCCGTGACGGATCTCGGTGCGAAGGGGTTCATGGGAGCTGCAACCGGTGCCCCGAAGCCCTGCACGAAGCTGAAGTTAAGATGCTTTGGGACCAAAGCTCACGGAATACACCCGAAGCCCTATAAACCATTACAAACTCTCATAGACTCGACAATAGGCCCTACTACTACTACGACGACGACTACCACCACCACGACGACGACTACTACTACTGCGGCTACTACTACTACTACTACTACGACTACTACTACTACTACTACTACTACTACTGCGGCTACTACTACTACCTATTTGGCAAGAATTTGGTGCTTCTAGCAGTCTGGGGGCTGAAATCTATTCAGGAAACATACTTGGAGGATCATGAGACTTAGTAAGTAAGGTTGTAAGTGCCTTAGTTGGGATTATAAGTAAGTATAGGTATAGTTACCTTAGTTACAATCCTAGATACTAAGTTCCATGAACCCTTAAATACAGCTTGTGCTTTGGAGGTTGCTACACTACCCTCAGGCAATACAAGGGTTGCCTTTCGAAGGGTCCCCGAAGCCCGAAAATTCTGCCCTGAACCCTACACCCCGAAGGCCGCAAAACCCTGGACTCAAAAAGGCTTTCAGCGCCCTAAGCCAAGAACCTCCCGAAAGCATTGTAGAATCTTTCCGTGACCCTGTTTGATCCCGCGCGACGGAACCCTTGAATTAAAGGACCTAAACAATAAAACACCCTGAAACTTCAACACCCAAAAACCCAAACCTCAAAACCTGAAACCCTGAAACTCCGGACCCTAAACCACTAAAACCCCTAAACTAAAACTTAAAACTCAAAACCCCCAAAACGCTACAATTCCGCGATGATCCCAAAGGTCCCAAGTACCATTATCGGAGGTACATAATACATACTATACTGTACTATTCTATTACTTTGACCTTTCTGGGTTATAAAGCCCTGCAAGCCACGTCGTGTAAAGTCCTACCCGGTCCCACCCCATAATCAGGAGCCCTCAAACCCTACACCCCAAACCAACAACCTGAAGTACATACGGTTGATGATATAAATCCTGCATTACACTAAGGACCCCAAAACTATAGGAATTATGGTATATTCCTTGTTATGGGCAATGCAGGATTTATATCATCAGCCGTAGGATCCTGCACAAGCCTCAGAGGCCGGTGGAGGAGCAGCGGCCGCTGCGGGCGCGGATGTCTGCCGTACAGGGGTCTTCGGGTCACTTTTCCTTGTTTGGACAGGTTTAGGGTATAGGGTTGGGGTTTAGGTTTTGGGGTTTAGGGTTTAGGGTTGAGGTAGAAGGCTTTACTTGAGAAGGGCTTAGTACAGGTTTTGGAGGGATTTGCCAATACAGTTCTGTCAGGGTTCCACGAAGATTTGATAAGCTAGGGTTATATAAAGGTTCTATAAGGCTTTGATGAATGGTTCTGGTGCTGGGGGGGTTAAGGCGTGTTTAAGGGTGTATGGTTGATGGTGTCGGGGTTTTAGGGCTTTCCTTAACCCGAAGAACCTACCTTTTGGAGGACTTATATGAGGAGATAATCTGAGAGAACCTAAAAAGGTAGGTTATTCCGGGTCAAAGGGTTACTAGGTTCCTGAGTGACCCCCAAATAATAAGGGTACCCTTTTTCTTAGTATTGAGTTTTAATAAGGGGGCGCCAAAATAAAAAGGGCAAAAGGGTACTACTCAGGAACCTAGGTTAAGGTGAGCAGGCGCTGAGGGACTCTTCGCTCGGACATTCGTGGGAGATGCGGTGCCGCTCTGACACTTGAGCCAGCCCGTACTCTCCCCTCATAACCAGGGAAAGGTTAACTACTATTTGCTTAAGAACCCCCAAAAAATTAAAAAAAAAATATAACCCCTATATTATCCCTATAAGGAACATATTTGTTATTTTTGGGGGTTCTTAAGCAAATAGTAAAAAGTAGTTAAGGTTAGGGTTGTAGAGAACTCTGGATGGGTTATAGGACTTCAAGGCTTCATGGCCGCCTTGGAGTTGCAGTTCAGGGCCGGGTTCGCGTTCTGGGAGTCTAGGGTATCGGGGCGTAAAGTGTTCCGTAAAGCGACTGTGTGTAGGATGTTCTCTCTGTCTCTCTCTCTCTCTCTCTATCTCTCTCTCTCTCTCTCTCTCTCTCTCTCTCTCTCTCTCTCTCTCTTTTTATATATATATATATATATATTTATATTTATATGTACATACATATATACATAGAGAGAGGCCCTGTGTTTTAGGGTTTTGTGGACGGCTCCAGGAGCTTTTCTCACGGTAGGTCATTTTACAAAGGATTTATCTACGTATAGATGTTTTATACCCGAAAGCCTGCTCAGCCCCAACACAGTATTGGTAGTTATTTAGGCCCCTATAGTGTTTCGACCCCTGTAGCCCACGGGCCTCGGCTGGCTCGTCCGTGGCACCTCGACAGAAACTGCGACACGGGCGTTTGCTATGAACCCTCCCATATAGGGGCGTAAACAGCTACCAAGACTTTCTTTTGAGGCCCCCTGTTTAAGTCGAAAGCACGGATCTATCAGGTAACAGTGTTTAGGATACTATGAGATACTCCAGACAACACTAAGATGAGAGTTTCCGAAAATGGGGGACCCATAGTACCCTAAATAGTAGGATCCTTATTTAAGGAACGCAAAGTAAGCTACTCCTACTGTTCGGCCCCGGTTCCGGGTTGAGGGGTTTTAGGATGGCTGCTACAGGCCGCCAAACGGCCGATCTGCTTCTTTTGGTAGTAGTAGTAGTAGTAGTAGTAGTAGTAGTAGTAGTAGTAGTAGTAGTAGTAGTAGTAGTATTACGACCATGGCTATGATGCTTATGTAATTTAGGACTTTCCGTTTAAGCGTCTGAGGATTAGAGATTTAGGGCTTGGGCTTGGGGCTTAGGTTTAGGGTTTCAGGGTCTGTCTCTGCTTTAGGTCTGGGTCTTCAAAAGGGCTTCAGGATTTTAGGGTTTAAGTGTGTGGAGGGTTTCGGCTTACGTTTTGGGTGTATAGCCTAGGGCTCCGAAATTCACATTTGAGGGCTAAGGTTTACTGCGTTACGGTTTAGGGTTTGCTTCTGCAGACTTCCACAGCACAGGTTTCAGATGAGCATCGAAGGAATGATAAATCGATGAGCCCGCAGCCCTAAACCCACTAAGACCCTAAACCCTAAACCCTCACCCTTGCCCCCAAACTATGCATCCTTAAGTCGACAATCCGACGCCGCAAACTCCCAACACTCTTAACCTCATGATTCCTTACAGGTTCATCAAGAGGGTTCGAGGGGCTTTAAAAGGTTTCATTTCAGGGTTTTGCAAAGTGGTGCAGGGCTTTGTGTGCTTTTGGGGAGATTTAACGGCGCAGGTACCCAATCATCATGAGTCAGCGGAATACAATCGTGCACTAGCAATATAACTGAAACCCGAGTACCGAATTACAATCCTAGTGGATTGGGAAGCCTTTCGACGTCAGTTGAGGCTGAAGGGTCTGATGCAGATGTCTCGGTAAGTATATAGTGTTCGCGGGCATACCGCTCTGATGGTTTAAGGCCCTAGCTCAAATCCATCAAAGAATAGTATGAAGAAGTTCAAAAAGGCTCATAGCATCTTGTTCCAACTATCCATGCTTAGGGCTCCAGTAACCTAGATTATGTGTTGCTGGGGTACATATATTGCATGGTTAGTAGCCTAACTCTCAACCCAAAACCCTAAGCAAAAGCAGCTGGAGCCCACGGGAAACCACTATTATAGAGGCCTAAATAATTAGTATAATGTTTCGGGGTATAAAGAACAATACAAGATAAGAAATAACCCGAAATAATAATAATAATAATAATAATAATAATAATATTTGCAGTTGTTTAAGCTTCTTTATTGTGAAGTTGCTATGCGGTTAGCGGGCTTTAGGACTGTCGGCTGGCATCTTAGCATTGGAGCCAGTAGGACTCGAGGTTCAAGGTTCAAAACGGTTTAGGGTTTTCTGCGGGCAGTGAGGGTTTAGGGCTTGGTTTCGGGTTTTCGGGTTAAGGGTGCAGGGATGGAGTGCACTGCCTCCGGTGGCATCGAAGCTTTGTCGTCGGGTCACTTCAAATTGCTGCATGAAAAGCTTCCATTGACAAGGGCCGAGTCCATCTGTGAAGTGCTGGTGTAAGCGGCGGGGAAATGGCGGTGATGATGCCGCATATCCCTGGCAGCGCCAGCACTTGATACAAGGCGCACTGATAGCACTTATAGCGTAAGCCAAGGGCGTCGCACATCCCAAAGTTGCTCCAATGCTTCCCGATCTGAACCATGCACGATGACCAACGAAAGGGGTAAAGAGGGGTTAGCAATAAACCTAAACCCTAAACCGTCTAAACCTCAAAACGTATAACTGTCGAAAACCCAAACGAACCAACCCTAAGCCCTTCCTCCCACAGCCTAGTCTCTCTAAGCCTTCACTCCTCTAAACCCAAATAAAACCTTAACCTTAAACCTGAAATAACCAAAACGCATTCCTTAGAGGCTTCAGGCTAAGCTCGAAATCTAAAAGCCCGACTAAAAGCTCCTAGGCCCTAAACCCACGGTGCGGAACTCAAAATCCTGGACGGTAATCTCTGAATCCGAAGTCTTCGTTTCAACTCTAAGTTCTGAACTCTTTTCGCCCTATTTTACGCTGTGATAGTGCAAACTCAACCATCGAAAACTACGCTCAGACTTGCCTCCTAAACCTGACACAGCTCCTCCGAATAGCTCTATGCCATGGTCCTCATACACTACAGCAGCCTGAATGACGAGACTGGGGCTTTGGGATTTTGTCTAAAAGTGTTTTATGCGGAACCTGCGAACCCTCAAACCAAACCCCATACGCTAAACCCCAAAAGAACAAGCCTTCCTACCCCTGCGTGTGCCTTCGGGGCTGCATTGGGCCGAGGTGCAGGCACTTGCTGAGAGATTTTAAGGCCCCCTTTTACCGAAAAGCCGAAATCAAGGCCTGCATCAACCGGGGGAGGAGGCTCACCGAAGGGCACCTGCTGGCGGACGAGGGCATGTTGGCGTTGTAATATAGGGAGTTTCGGCAAACAGAGGACCCTACTATAGTACCCTAAATAGTAGGATCCTTATTGTAATTTAGGGTTTAGATTTGTTTCGGCTTCAGGGTTTATAAGGTTTAGGGTTTAGGATTCAAGGTTTAGGATTGAGGGTTTAGGATTTAGGGTTTAAGGGCGTTGATAGCTCGACTAGGGTTTTGGGTATGAAGCAGCATAAGAAAAATCAGGAAGATTCAGGAAGGGACCGGTTTATGCATGTAGGGTTGTACAACTTTGCAAAATAACACCGAACAAGTTTCCCTATCCCGGAATTGGGTTATCGTCTTTTCTGGTCATCGCTTTGCCGGCCACAGACACCAATCTTGATGTTAGTGCAACTTTAGTACTGGAAGTTCCTTGCTTGGGATCCTGGCTGGATTGTGCTGGGTTGTAGTACAACTCTATAGTACTGAAAATTCCTCGTTTGACGTCCTGTGCTGGGTTGTGGTACAACTGTAGTACTGAAATTGCCTCGTTTGGGGTCCTGGCTGGATTGTACTGGGCTGTAGTACAACTTTGGTACGGGAAATACCTCGATTCGAGTTTTGGCTCCTGGCTAGGTTTTGCAATGCTTGTGGCGTTATCGTTTTGCTTTCTTGTCATTGTTCTTCCACAGAAAATGCTTGCAGAGCCAAGCAGGGACATGCCAAGACTACACTCTGAGGCGCGGGGTTATTATACAACCCATGTCCCAAAACTTAATGCATGTGTTCAACACAATCGCCGCTGCTGATTTGGGTGTGTGATGTATAAACTCTAAACCCCTAGGCCCTATACCCTAAACCCAAAAACAACCGAAACCCCTAAAACCCTAATCCCCAAACTCTAAAAACCGTAAAACCCCCAAACTTAGCCCCAAACCCTAAACCCAAAACCCTAAAAGCCCATACCCGACACCCTGCCCCCCAAAACCCCAAAAGCCCTAAACCCTAAAACCCCTAAACTAGAGTCTGTAGGGTTTTGGTTGGAAGACCTTCAGGGTTCCAGCACGTCGGACCTGAGTTAAGCTTTTAGGTTCTTGAAAGGGTGTAGGGTTTGGGGTTTAGGGTTTCGGGTTTAGGGTTTAGGGTGTAGGGTTTAAGTTTAGGGTTTGGGGTTTTCAAAATGGAAATGCATGGTGTCAGCATACTTTTTGGCTTGAACCTTTTCGACTTGGTTGCCCCGGCAGTAAACCTCGACCCTCAACCCTTTAATTATGGCTTACATCCACCTTCAAACCCCCAAACCCGAAACCCTTGCAGCCCTACGTCCACGCCCCATTTACGGCTATAAGCCTCTAAACCCCATAAACCCTAAGAGGAAAGATCGTTCTTTTGGCCCTTGACCTCTTCGAGATGCTAGTGGCGGCATGTTCGGCAATAGACTTTTCGAGGAGTTCTCTCATCTTGACTCGAAGAACCCTAAACCCTAAACCCTAAACCCTAAACCCTAAACGAAGCTCCGAGAAAGCTAGAGCCCGAACGCTATCATCAGAACCCTTACTCCCCCAATAAGCCACAGAAATAAAAGATTATCCTTTCAGACTTCGACTAAACTGTAAGAGCCCGAAAAGTTGAAGGGAATTAGGGATCTAAGAACCAGAAAGCCCCCTTCCAGAACAAGGCTATCTCTGAATGTTGATGTGGCTTTTGTCACGTGGGAGAGTAAACGACGCTGAGGTCAACGGCACAGCGATCTTCAATCATGCTAAACTCATAAGTTAGCCTTACACTCCGGAACCAAGGCTGCACAAATCAAAGCCCTTAGCCTGATAAAACCTTTCTGACATGTTCAGTCTGTACAAAAAATACTCTAAAGCCCAAAGATCAAACACATGGCTTTGCTTAGGACTCCAGCGTTGCTTTTGGTTTTCCAACAAAGCGTTTTAGGCTGTTTCGAAGCTTAAATGATCGGGGTTTAGAGTTTAGGCTTGGGGGTTGAGGGTAATTTTGCATGCATTTTAAGGCTGAGGGCTTTAGGGTTCTTTGGGGGTGGAGCGCTCGAGGCACCCCCACATCATAAAGACCTTGGGGGGGGTAGGGCAGGGGAGTCTGTAAAAAGGACTCAATGAGGACTCAATAAGGCCTACTTAAGGAAGTATAGTTCCCTACCCCCTCCTCCTTACCCCCTAAAGATCTCTATGACCAAATGAGCGCTAGTCACAGGAAGAGTGTAGGGGTCATTGGTCCAAGCGCGCTTCCATTCCTGACCGCCTTTCTTTCCGTTTGCGGCTGTGTTTGGGACTCCATTCCGTTTACACTTGGCTTCATGCTCCCGTTTCGGACTCCCCTTCCGCTTAATTACGCTTGTTCTGGTTTCTCTTCCAGTGGGCCGCTCGGGCTTCTGGGTGTTCGGAGCGGGAAAGTCCGGCACCCAGCACATCCAACATGGAACCGGAAATTGAAAATCCTGCATCCACGGCAAACGGACACAAAACGTCGAAACAACTGCGTGTGTGTGTGTGTGTTCCACTTCTTTCTGTTTACCAAGACAAATCCAAGCCCCGGAAATGACAAGAACCGCAAAACAGACTGTGTTGTCAACATTTTCCTGTTGCTGGGGTGGTCTCGGATTTGCCGTTCCCGGTTCCGTTTTGGACTTTGGGGTGCCGGTGTTCCGTTCCCGATTCCGCTTTGGATTTTGGGACTGCCACCGTTTTTCCGTTCCTGTCTAGCAGAACCGACGCCGACAACGGAACAGCGAACGAAAGCCTCAACGGAACCGCCGAACAAAATTTTCGAACAAAACATTGCACGATTTGTTGGTCCTGGGGCTACTGCTATGACAGGAACGGTTGCCGTGCTTTTGCTTTCTGTCTTCACCAGCCAATTTTGCGATTGAAGTTGTGTTGCAGGTAGACGGTCTTTATTGTGGCAATAACCCGTATACTGAGGACGAGTGACCCTGCGATTGTAGAAAGACACTCCTGCTCCAGCTACGGCACGCACCGCATGCCAAGAAGCTAAACTCTTAAACCCAAACCATATCCCTCTTAAGGACCCCATAATAAGGTCCCTGGAGGGCTAGGGAAACCATAATCCAAGCCTTAAGCCTGAAACCTGGGGCGCCCTCCTGCATCGGGCGCATCACTGAAGCTGGTGCTGTGTGCTTGCGGGCACCGCCAAACCTGTTGCCATACCTCCGACAAGTATAGAGGTCAGCATTCAGGGTTTAAGGTTTTAGGCTTTCTAACAGTATAGGGTTTGATAGTTATAGGGTTTAGGACTTATATAAAAGGTTGGGGCACTTTCGGGCATAGAGCTCTCACCACAAACCTTCCCGGCAGCATCGCCGTTGAAGCTTGAGGGTTCTCCGCTAGCAGAAAGCAGTCTGCAAGGTTGGAGCTGCAAACTCTAGAATTCGGAATCCACAATAGACACCCGCGAAAATACCTGCAAGACTTCCTCGGAATTCTCCGTTCTTATCCGCTCACCTTATGACAGCAGCCGGGTTCAGATGATGAGGGTGCCACACGAAAAACACCTAAACCCTAACCCTGAAAGCTGAAATCCTAATATAGGGGCCTTAATGGTTAGACTAGGGTCTGGGGGGTATTTTATGCTATAGCTATAAGAAGGATGGAACCCCACAAAATAGTATAGATAATTATCAAGGCCCCTATATGTTGCGAGTGAGCCCTTCGATCTTCCTCACGAAAGACCAAAAACCTCACGATGACAAACCTTGTACTGAAAAAAGCCCTTAAACCACCAGGGTTTAGGGTTTAAGTTTAGGGGTTTAGGGTTTAAGGGTTTAGAGTCCTTAAACCACCAGGGTTTAGGGTTTAGGGTTTAAGGGTTTAGGACTGAAGCCAAAACCCCTGAACCCTGAAGCCTTAAGCCTATTTATGGGCCGCCTGCAAGTATCCTTAGAGGAATCCTCAAGGGAGCGTTTAGGGCAGCATTCCTAAAACCGCTTTCGTAAACCAAGAACCTCATCCCTCAAAGCTAAACCCCAACATCCCAAACCCATACAGGGAACTCCAGAAAGTTGGAATATGGATTAATGGCAGGATCCCCTATAATTTACCTTAAAGGGGTTATGATAATGATATTCCAACTTTCCGGCTTCTACTGTAATGCTAGCCCGAAGCTGGGCTTTGAAGTAACCAAGGAAAAAAAGTATAAACTTGTATTTCATAATGGCTCCTTTAAGAGAAAAAGAGTATTCAAGTATGGTACTCCAAAGCCCAGGAAGACCCAAAACCCTAAACCCTAAAACCCTAAACCCTAAACCCTGAACCCTAAATTCTCTTTAAGCCCCGCTGCGGATTCGGTGGGGCAATCATGTTGTCCAGCGCGGAGGCCTGCAATGGGCATGCTGGGCTCCATACTTGGAGGGTCGGGGGACTTAGTAAGTAGGTAGTAAGTAGACTTATAAGTACCCTAAAAGGGACCCTAATTGGGGCTATGGTACTTATAAGTCCATAAAATAACCAGTTACTAAGTCCCCCGACCCTCCAAGTACTAGCAGATTGCTAATATGGGAGTTTCCGAAAATTAGGGTGTAGGGTTTGAGGGTCATGAGACTCAGTAACTAGGGCTATAATTAAAGAAACTGTACTTATAATTACTTGTAAATCCAATTAAGGTACTTATACCCCTACTTACTAAGTCCCATGATCCTCCGAGTACTAGCAGATGACTAATGGCTCTTACTAGAGGGGTGTGATATGGGCTGTATATGCGGCATGACACGGCTTGCGGTTTTGTTGCTTTAGAAGGCTTGTCTCTGGATCACATTGCACAGTCAAAGTCTGGCGGAAACCAGCCAAAGCTACACAGACCTTGCCATACCATTTTGGATTTTGCAACGGGCCTCAGTTGGAGGGTGGCTTACAGATTCAGACCCTTCGTTTGTCCTCTATACGTAGGACTAAACATTAGACATCCCCGTCGCTATACTCCCAGACATTCCAAGCGTCGCTAGTTAAGAGCGCTTACATTGACTCAGGGATACTACACGAATCATCAAACTTCACGTAGAGAGAACACCCTAATTATGAGATGTATCCTCTGACTCAAGGATATATCCCATACCTAGTATATCTTGCTAGTGTAGGTGACATTAACTAAAAGTTATATTCCGAATACGGGTTGGTTCTTAAGTAGTGTACGTTACTCTTAGAAGGCTGAACCCGGCCCTAGGAGTTTACGCTGATGAATGAAATGCAAAACACACACTCACCTTGATTAGTGACTATTCGAACGTCCGGGTTCTCCGCGGATCTCGCCCGCAAGTTCGGTGACGTTGTACAGGAGCATCACAAGCGTGTAAGACGCTTCCAGAATGGATTCAGGGTTTGGGATTTAGGGGAGATGTCTAACCGCGCATCAACGCTTTCTGGTTTACACAGTAACCGTCAGCTCTAGCAACACATTATGCGGCCTGTCTGTGCAACTTCCGCACACACACACACACGCACACACACACACACACACACACACACATACACACACACACACACACACGCATGTTGAGAGGTTCGCATCACTTGCTTCAGGGGCGCAGATGGACCAGAGGCCCCAAGCGTGACGGCAGCTGCGATCAGAAGCATTCAGCCGACGTGTATACGCATTTATGTATGGCATGCAGCACACATGTAAGTCTGTAAGACCTTGGCTGACTTCTGAACGCCTCTTATACATTTGTAGCCTCCTTATTACAGTTCATATAAAGACAAAAAATAATGTCCCAAAAGCAAGCCAGATGAACGCCAAGAGAAAGGGTAAGGCTGAAATGACACGACGCAGACAGACCTGCAGTATGCCAGCTCGCTGGAACCCTCCTCGAAATCGTTGCATCGGTCCGTCTTGCTGGAACAAGGTACGAAGCAGTCTACCTGCTCGCAGATCTCCCTGAGACTCGATTAATTTCCTGTACATGATTCCGACTGAACGGCCCGCGTAGTTAGCGATCCTTGGTCTGCGAAGCCATGCAGCGAGCCCCTTCCCCAGCAGCCTCTAAACCCCAAGCCCTAAACCCTAAAGTCCCAGCAGCCTCTAAACCCTATAAGCCCTAATACCCCAGCAGCCTCTAAACCCTAAACCCTAAATCCTAATGCCCCAGCAGCCTCTAAACCCTAAACCCGAAATCCTAAAGCCCGAGCAGCCTCTAAACCGTATAAGCCCTAAACCCCCAGCAGCCTCTAAACCCTATAAGCCCTAAACCCCCAGCAGCCTCTTTCTTCTCCTCTTTCTTTTCAGGTGGTGTCGCCTCAGGAAGTGCCCAGCATCACAAGTTCGGGTCTGAGTCTCTGGCCTTGGAACTACCTGGACCCGCTAAACCCTTCCTTTTTAGGGTTCCCTACTATGATCTCTATATAAGTATAAGTTATAGGTTACAAGTCCTTGTTTAGGGTTCTCTACTATGGTCTCCTCACCTAGGTAGGTTATTTGGGGTCCAGGTATGTCCACTATAACGGAACATACGGAACCTAAAGCGCTCAAGTAAGACAAGTTTGGAGTAGACACCGTCGGACCAGGATGCCAGAAGTGCATAATCTTCATGCTACTAGACTAGCGGCACGATCTCCCGAAAGCCTAAACCCTATATACCAAGCCCGTGATCCCCCATTGCGCCCTTCGCACGCAATTGGTCTCTGAGGCCTGGAGGGGAGTTTCCGAACATTAGCCGTACCTTATTCTGGGGTAATAAGGATCCTATAGGGTAACATATTAAGGAAGCCTAGTTTCGGAGACCCCCATATCGAAAAAGCGAAGCACGCATGCCACGGTTCAGGGTTTAGGGAGCCCACACCAAAAATAGATAAGGACTATGATTCCTTGCAGAGCCTTTTTACAATAAGGGTTCTTTATGGGGGCTGAAGGGTTAATCGGAGGTCATGCAGTATAGGTGTGCACCAAAACGGCGGCAAGAAAGCCAAACAACACAGAACCCAAAAGTACATACTTCGCATTACAACAGCAGCGAGAGGGGAAAGGCGACACGAAGCGACCAGGGGGACTGGAAATTCAGGCCGTAGGTAGCGGGGTGCTAACCCTAAACACTACCTGGACCCTGAAGAACCTACCTTTCAAGGACTTACAATACTAGCAATCACACGACGGAACCCTAAAGAGGTAGTTTCTTGAGGGTCCAGGTAAACGCTAAACGGCAAACTGCCGTCAACCCAATCTCGACAAACCCAAGCAAAGTTTCGGATTCCAAAACGACCAGGCGATCCGCTCTTCTGTTCTTCCCCCTCTCGCTCCGGTAGTTATCACCTGCTAAAGGACCATGGGTAGTCATGCACAAACGACCAAGGTTTATTAAGATAAGCCCTTCGGGTGCTGCGTGACATCCGAATGAGAACAACCTTTCCGCGCCGCAGCAAAATCTTGGGTGTGTGGGTTTGGGCTGATACCAACTTGCCCGAATAAGTGTGGATGCCATCCAATCATATGATCCATCCGAATTCTGAGCCCCACAATTCTACAACCTCTTAAATGCTCCGAAACAAGGCTGGCATGGGCAACCTACCTAGTTTCTACAAATATGACATCACTCCTTGACAAAACTCTTCTCCCCTCAACCAAATGCCAGAAACCCTTAAACCCCAAAGCTCCAAATCCCTACTTGGAGGATCATGGGACTTAGTAAGTGGATTTATAAGTACCTTCTTTGGGGTTATACGTAATTTTCGTATAGTTACCTTAGTTATAACCCCAGTTACTAAGTCCCATGACCCTTTAAGTAGCCACTGTGGCTGCGGCCGCAGAAGAGCCCATGGATGGTGGGGGAGGCAGCGCTGTCTCCTCCTGGTGCCCAGAGAGCCCAATACCCCTTAATTAAGGAGAATGGCTTAAATTATATAGGGCTTCAAATTATGATTTAAGCTATATTCCTTTTTAAAGGGTATTGGGCCCTGTGGGTGTGTCTTCGGGTTTTCTTGGATGTGTCAGGGTTGTCGGAATACAAGTTATTATACGGGCGTTGATGAGATGCAGGTGTGCTGCAGGGACTAGCGGACTAGCGTTCTAAGCTAAGTAATCTAAGGAATCCAACGGCCATAAATGTAAACTTACTATAGGGGCCTTAATGATTAGAATAGGGTTTTGGGGCCCGATATACCATAAGTGTAGCAAGGCACCACCCAAATAATGATTGTTACAGTACTATAACCCTCAACCCCTCAAGTTCGACCTTGCTCATCATCTTGCAACCCCCCCCCCCCCACCCAGCCATGAAATCCAAGCCGTAGGCCCTCAAGTGCTAATCCAAACCTCAATCCCGACGGTGTCGCTTCGAAGGTTTAGAGTGTCCGGCTGGGGTGTAAGTGATGGATCTAGAACTAGGGATTGAGCTTCAGGAGACTCGGTATCAAGCTAAAGCATTCAGAGTTGACGCTTACAGAGTAGAGCTCTGCTGAGGGATTGAATTTTGGTCCGTTTGGGGGGGGGTTACAGCACACGCGTTGGCCTTGATCCGATCACCTCCTCTCTGAAGCTACAAACAGCGGCGATTTGTAGAACGCGGCTTAAGGGTTTTTAAGTGCAGCGTCTCCCCTTTCTCCAAAGGGCAGGCCGGTTTAGGGTTTAGGGTTTGCTCATGGAGCCGCCAGGTCTCCGTGGGAAGCCTTGAAAAAACCTGCTTCAGCCCTACCAAGACCCAAGCAGAACGATGATAGGGGCCTAAATAATTACCTACACTGTTTCGTGGGTACCTTATTATAACTATAGTATAATGGTCTTCAAACCCCTATTCTAATTATTAAAGCCCCTATATTAAAATTGAGCAGAACGAAGAACTGGGCAACCGGCGTCGGACCCGGATCTAGTTCATGGTTGGGACACATAAAATGTAAAATGTTACTCAACGATGACAAAGGGATAGCAAAGAGTTGTATTGTCGAACCGTCTCTGACTCGTTGGTCTCATTCCAGATCTCTTTTGAGATCTCTTTTGGTCCTAGACCCTAAGCCCTAAACGGTTTAGGGTTAAGGGTTTCCTCTATAATGTGCACCGGATTCGGCCGGACATTCGTCAATACTACTACGTAATCGTCCTCAGGTTTGGCTTTGCAGGGTCTTGGGATCTTCAATGGGGATTAGATTACGCCTGTGGCTTTGCTTTTGAGGTTTGTGGAGCCTTTGTTTAGAATTCTCAATAGCCTATTTGTCGGGTATCATGGGGAACTAAAGGTTAACCTTTCTGGTGATATAGTGATTATAGAGGGACTATACTACCCCAAAAAGGTTAAAGGTTACCTACTCGACTACTAGGACTAGGATAGGCTTGAGGGCTTCATTTGGGAGGGCTGTTGAACCTTTTGCTGAGGAGTTAGACAAGGCCTGAGGCTTCATCTCGGAGCTCTCACTACTCAGGATGCAGACAAATCTTGCGGGATAACAAAGACAGCTCATGTTTGGAAGTTCGGGCTTTTTCGGAGTTTAGTGAAAAGACAGGGCTAAGTATTCCGTCAAACGGGTTTTAAGACAGGCAATTTAAGAGATGATGTAACCATGAAAATCTGAACTGCTGTAGTCCTGAAGACCAGGCGACCAAAACTAACCTTTCAACACTTAGGACTCAAGCTATAAACCTAAATCCCGTAAACCCTGAAGCCGTTGTGTCCTACAGCTTCGTGACAAAACTAAAGCCTCGAACCCTAAGGTAAAAGCCAGAAAGTTGGAATATGATTATCCTAAACCCTTTATGGTAAATTATAGGGTATCCTACATTTTTTCCATATTCCAACTTTCTGGAGTTCCCTTTAAACCCTGAAACCCTAACCCAACCCTGCGTGGCCTCTTCTAGGTGTTCTTTGCCGCGCTCTCGCCAGCGCCCTTTCTCCTCACAGTAATGTAGTGTTTGGGGTTTGGGGTCTGGGGTTAATTACTATACTGAACTTTGAACTATAGCAACAATTATAATTTTAGCTGTTTCTTAGGGATTATAATAACCCAAAATTAAAAAATATTTCTAAGTACCCCTAAGATTAGGCGAGGTTCAGGGTTCACGGTTTACGGTTAAGCCAGGAGCTCCGCGCGTCTATCGAGTGATGTTCAGAGTCTGGTGTTTTTGTCATTACCCAGCGGCCCTAAAGTAGTTCCTTCTTGGGGTTCATATTTAGAATCCTATTAGGTAATCCCAACAAGGAATTACTTTGGGGCCTATGGGCAACTTGGTTGCATCGTCATGTGGAGCTGTTGTGGGCGTTCGGCCGTGACTCGACAGGAAACGAGATTGAATTTCGACACCATCTGAAGTCATGTTCTTAACATGAGCACTGAAAATGGAGCCTGAACCCATAGCCATAGACCCTAAACTTGAACATTTATAGCCATTACTGCGAATAAACATCCGGCAAAGGGTTCTGATTGGAAAGGCCATGTGTCTTTGCCAAACTGTACTAATCCCTAAACCATAAGCCCAAACCTGCAAACCCCTAAACCCTGAATCGCGGACGGGGCATCTTGAAGAACGGTTTAACATGATCAACAGGACATTGGGGGGAGCAGAACACAATGAATACTGAGAGTGACTGATAGCAATACCAAACGCTGCATTTACCGCGAAACTACATTCGAAGCGACGAACATGATCGCAGGCTCGGACTGATCATATAGAATAGCAGCACCAATGGCAGCACCAATGGCAGAAACCAAAGTGCTGAACCAATACCGGCTGCAGGAGGTGCCATCAGGACTATGGCTTGTGTAAAAAGGCCATGTAGATGGCCCTTTCAGAAATTCAGAAACAAGTTTGATCTTTATGTTAGGGGTCTTCATACGGTTGATGAAAGAATTCCTGCATTACCCATAAGAAGGAATATTACATAATTCCCATAGTTTGGCGTCCTTAAGGTAATGCAGGATTCATATCATCAACAGTAGTACCGGTAAAGATGTCCCAGGGTGTAATCCAGATCAGAAACATCCGTTGGACAGGCGCGTGCCTTTGCCAAAAGAACCTTTCGAAACCCTTAACCCCCTTTACTTTACACTTGAAGCACGATTCAACATGATCAACAGAAAAGTCTGGGTGAATACTGAGACTTACGGAGATTCAGAATAGCAATACCAAAGGCACACTACTGGCCGATAGGGGCCTTCAGAATTAGAATCAGGTTTTGGGCCCCTCTATACCATTGACTATAATAAGGAACCCGATGGAAAAAGATTGGTTGTTATTTAGGCCCCTATCTTGAAAGGTCGGGGGACTTAGTAAGTAGTTATTTTAGAGACTTATAAGTAATACCATAACCCCAATTAGGGTCCCTTCTAAGGCACTTATAAGTCTACGTATAACCTACTTACTAAGTCCCCTTAAGACCCTCCAAGATAGAACCCTCATAGACCCCTTTACAGGGTCCCTTATAGAATCCTCATAGACCCCTTTAAAGGGTCCCTTATAGAACCCATATAGATCCCTTTTAAGGGAGCTCCTCTTGAACCCAGGGCACTACAGCTGACAGCCACGAGTTGGGATGCGAGCAGCAGGAAAATGTAAGTTTGGGGTCCGGGCCTCATTGCACCGATTCATCATACTATAAGTATAGGCTCCTTTGAGGGTTCCTGTTAAAGGGGTCTAGAAGGATTACTATAAATAGTTACCTATGCTGCTGTTTTTCCTTTTTCGGGGGGGTGCCCAAAACCCTTTGCAATTATTAAGGCGCCCCCCCCAAAAAAAAAAACGCTAAAGTTCATGGCTAATGCCAGCTAGCCAGTGAATATATCTGGAGAGGCGAAGCACGCTTGCAAAGTCTGTGCGGCCTTGTCGAAGTACATCGCAGATGGAGCATCGGGCAGCTTGACCTTGTGCACCTCAGGGTTTTTGGGCTTCCGGGTTTCAGCGACCGGAAGAAGTAGACTTCCTGGCTGGGGTAACTCGTTTCCGATAAGGGAATTCAAAAAATTCTGCGCAGGGGGATGCCTGGGGTGCTGCAGAGTGTGCCCGGTATACTGGGTAGGAAGGAGTACCAGGCTCGTGCTGCAGAATCCCCACACACACACGCATTCACATATAGGCTTTTTGTTGAGCAATTTTTTCCATCCGCCTAAAAGGTCTTTGGAATCTGGAATTCGATTCGCGACACATATAGGGTTTAGGGTTTAGAAGTTTAGGGTTTAAGCTGTACACTTCCAGCAGAACAACACAACTGGGCCGGCCCTTCAAGATTCGTTAAGCTTTCGCCTACAAGGTTGGTTGCCTGACCTGTTGCGCCTTCTAGACCTCTTTGTTTCAAGGTTTCGCTCACGGTTGATGGCATTGAACCGACCCCTGCAGCAGAAGTTCTGGCAGTTACAAAAAATTTGGGTACACCGTAGCATAGTCATACCGGGATTAGCGTGGAGTTGCATTGCAACCCCTATACTCTACACTATACTAGGCTCAGGGGGCTTTGGTACACGTTCCTGTCCATGGCAACAGAGTTGGGCTTGCGGTTGAAGGGTCCTGGGTTCTGGGATCGAGCCTTGCATGGGGCTTGATTCATTCATAGCTTGGGAGAAGCGAAGGTCACAAAGAGCTCGCCGTGCATCAGAATGGTTTAGACGAAATGTGCAAGACCATGACATGCGTCCACCTCAGGGTTGGGTTGCCAGCACTTCTGCTGTATGGGTAGGTCTATCAACCGGTGAAGCGACACCTTGAAACAAAGAGGCCTAAAATGGCGCAACAGGTTTGGCAGCCAACCTTAGCTCCAGGAGGTGCTTCATGATGTACTAGCTAGGATAAGCTGACGAATGGCGTCCACCGGCCAAGTAGATTGCAACCGTACACCCTACAACCCTAAACCGTGCAGGTCCACTAAACATCCGCCCACTAAACTACGATAAATCTATAAACTCTGCACTACTTGCAACGGAGCCTACAATAGACGATTCATCTTGAGACTGAAATGCGCATTATACCCAAACTAAACGTCCAACATGCGGAACATACCTACCGTGTGGGGACTGGCCAAAGTTCAGGGCCTTCTGTAAGTTTCCTGCTTGAAGATTCTTGTCGTTGATTGCCGAACGCTAGCAGTATTCATCTTAGTTGCATAACCCGTTGTCAAGTTGATGTCGTCATTCTGTCTTTCCGTCAGCGACACTTGGATTCGCGGGCTCAACAAATATCATGGTTCGCTGGCAACTTTCGACAGTTCGCAATACATGTGCACATGCATCGGCGGGAGGCACACAGCTAGCACAGAGCATCTTGACTTTACTCTATGTCGTCCCTCAAGGCCCGAATCTTCGAAACTTCCGACCTTCCGCGCACAATGTAGTCAAGCATATCAACTAGTTCATGGTTGGGATAGGGTTAAAAACTTACATGTTTATTCCTTATTGGGTTTAAGTACCCATACAAGTGTAAAATGTTACCCAACTATGACAAAGTCAAGCAGAAGCCACGTTCACACCCTTTGAGGCCGCCGACTTGTGGCTCGTTCGGATCCCGTTTCTTGAACAGGCCTGAGGCGGTTTAGGGTTTAGGGGTCAGGGTTCAGGGTTTAGGGGTCAGGGTTTAGGGGTCAGGGTTCAGGGTTTAGGGTGTAGGGTTCAGAGTTTAGTTTAGGATTTAGGACACGACTTGTTCAGGGAATAACAGATTAAGAGCTTCAACAACATCCGACGCTGGCTCCATTACCGAGGGATCTCTGTTTTTGCTCGTGGGGTCTTCCTGAACCGCTTGATCCCCACGTGTCACTCCGAAAGCTGCAATTCGGTGCCTCACGTAAACATCAGCTTCGAGAACAGAGTCTATGCCCCAAGTACTGGTTATCAGGGCTCCATGTTGCCGCTGAGGCAAAATGATCGAAATAGCTAAATATGAATTATAGGCTACGATCAGGCTCGAACCACAGATTCAGGTTCCACCCAAACACCATACATCATAAAGACATATAAAGACCAAGATTGAGACTAGGCAGAAATCGTATGCACACATTGATGCTTACTGTGGTACTCCCGTGGTGCCGTAGTTTGAGAACTGGTTTTTAGATTGCTAGTGCGGCGTACGCAGTGCCAGACACTACAAACATAACTGTTCGTCCGGTCCTACACAAACAGCAATGGATGCTCCACAAACGGCATCACGAGCTTCGTGGATTCCCTGCCCATCCGCGTGTTCGGGCTTTGCGTTGAGTGGAGACATCCAAGCATTGCGGACCCAACATAATTCAACATAGTCGTTTCAGACGACGCCTCCTGTCAACGTACATTGAGCTACACACACACACATATATATATATATAGATTATCTATACATACATACATACATACATACATATGTATATATATATATATACGAATGTATGTATATGTACAAATACATATACATATACATATATACATATATACATATATACATATATACATATATACATATATGTGCCCGATACCTTTATGGTACCCCCCCCCCCCCCCCATGGGTCTATTATTTTCGTGTGTTTCAGAGCCCCACCACACGAAAACGGTAGATCTGTGAGGGGAGGCTAGCCGATGCACCATGCTGAGGTTGGGTGAACTACACCCTGGCCCGATTGAGTTCAATCGGGGCAGATTGACTTCAATCGGGGGCCGGATTTAAGATTCAAGATTGAAGACTGCGTAGAACGCTTTGCCCGGGAATCTTCAATCCTCAATCTGGCCCCCGATTGGGTTCAATCGGCCCCGATTGAGTTCAATCGGGGGCCGGTTTGACGATTGAAGATTGAAGATTCCCTGGAAAAAACTTTCTCCGGGAATCTTCAATCTTCAATCCGGCCCCCGATTGAGTTCAATCGGCCCCGATTGAGATCAATGGGGGGCCGGATTGAGTTCAATCGGGGGCCGGATTGAGTTCAATCGGGGCCGCTTGAGTGCAATCGCGGTTCATCCCATGTGGGCAAATGATTCTATAAGGCATTCTATGGTGCATTCGAAGGGGATTCTACAGGGTATTCTATAGGGGTTTCTTTACGGCTTTCTATGTGGTACTCAGGGGGTATCGACACGGGGGGGAATGCTGTAAGGTAGTCTCGAGGGCATTGCAAATGGCATTCTATAAGGCCTATAAGGGGCATAATACAGCGTATTTCTTTTGAGTATTCCATAGGAAACTCCATAACGCGTTGTGGGAACTGCATAAGGCATTGATTGTACTAATAAAGGATGGTACAAGGCATTATACAAGGCAGAAGCATCAACGTAAAAATTGTATTGTAGAAAATATTCTGTAACGTATTGTAGAAGCTATAGGGTATTCAACAAGGTTCATAAGAGGTATATGGGGTTTCTAGAATCTAAGGTTATCTGTATGAAATTCTTTAAGATGCAAAGAAGGAGTATTGGAAGGCTACAGAAAACACAGTGTTTACCGCGAAGGGCTTGGGACAGCTCCGGGAACAACATCTAAAACCCAAAGCGTGGAACCCACACAATCATCCAACAGTCGATCGGGTAGGCACCAGACTGCTTCTTCTGCGGGTAAACTGAATGTCACGACGTCCGAAACTTCTCAATTCCGAAGATCATGTCCACGGAGCTTCCTTGCAACCCAAGGCTCGTCCGAACATTGCGCACGACAGAGGCAGAAGACCAAGCAATCAAAGTCGAAGCTTGAGCCCAGGAAGTGTTCGGCGAGGATCAGCTCGCAAGCTTTTAGTAGACTTGAGGCATCGTGTTGCCGGGTATAATGAAGGCACCATAGGATACGATGCATGGCATTGGTGTTGGGGATAGGGCATCAGGCTTCTTGTTGAAGTTGTTGTTGGCGAAGCTACAAGTACTATGCCGCGCGGAGTCAAATTCGCATGCAAAAGGAAGAAACCACAAAAGCCAGGTGCGATCCGGTGTGTATCTCTTGCCAAATAGTTGAGGAGACAGGTACGACCCCGTGGTGTTGAGTTCGAACCTTTTGTTGAATAAGACGGACGAGTGGTGTGCGCGCAGAAGCATTCGTATCAAGGGAAGCAAGAAAACATAGGCAGCTGGAATGTGTATGTAAGTCTCAGAGCTGCTAGCATGTTCGCAGTCCCTCAACATCCTTCAACAACACTTAATTATTTCAAGCTGGAAGAATGCTCTAACACAATTCCGGACGATGGGGCTTAAGCCTTGGTTGGAATACGTGGGGACCGAATCCAAATCACCATGTATTCCGAACTGTTGCGCGAATGTGTGGAACTGCAAGTCATAAGCTACAGGCTTCGAAGTCAGGCTTCAGAGCCCCCTAAACCCTAAACCCTAAACCCTAGCCGTCGTAGCCCGTCACCACCCTCCAGGACACTCCGAACCTGGGGCTCCAAATAGCCCAAACAAGGTACTATCTATAGACTTTAGACCCCGAGTTAGGTACTATTCGGGTAGTTCTCAAAATTATGGCTCCTTTTTGGGTACCCTAAATATTAGGTGCCGTATTATAACAGGATCCCAAAAAGGGACCCTAATTTTGTCAACCACCCGTTTGTATGCTTGAAGCCCTAAGGGAAACTGCAGTCGCAAGCATGGCAGCGCAGAAAGAGAGCAGCTCCGGACATCTTGGGCAACCTCCCGTCTGGATCGGCTTTTTGTAGGAATGACACCCTCAACCCCAATCCCCAAACCCTAAACCCCTCACCCCTAAACCCTACCCTAAACCCTGAACCCTATAAGCCCTGCAGAACCCTAAAGCCTAAATCCAACCCTAAACAAGAACTCCACTTCCCCCGTAACAGCGGATGCGTTTGTAAGCAAGGACGTACCGGTCTCTTCGCGGAGATCTGGCCGGGCTCTTCCGATGGGATCAGCCTACACCGTCGCCGGCCCTAGCTCTTTTCTCTCTCGAGCTGATTTTAGAAGGGTTCCTTACGGACTACGAGGGATACTATAGGGGTACTATAGTAAAGGGGCCTAAATAATTACCTGTGCTATTCTGCCCCAATAGATAGGGGCTTGGGGTTTAGGGGTTTAGGGTTCAGGAGGTTAGGGGCGTTCGAGATTTAGGGGTTTTTGTGGGGTTTAGAGTTTAGGGTTTTGGTGTCTCGGTGTGAGGTCGGAAGCATGTAAATGTAGGGCTTAATGACAAGTGTTGCCATGACCTCTCCTTAGCTCATACTCACAGAGGGCATGGAAGGGCATGGCTGAAAACAAACTACCAGGGGTTGCAGTTCCAATTTCGAAGCTGTTTAGGCTTTGGGGTTCCTAAGATAGAGGCCTTAATAATTACAACAGGGTTTGGGGCCCACGATACTCTTATTATAATAAGGAGCCCCCACAAACTAGCATTGGTAATTTGTGAAGCCCCCTTTAATTTAGTAGCTCGACTCGAGATTTTGAGCCAAGGTTGGGCTTGCACGGCGTAAAGCTGGTCACCGTCTAGAAGAAGCTAGGTGGGGCCTTTAAAGCCTTTGACAAATATTAGTAAACAAGATCCTCTTAAGCCCAATAAGGGAAATATATAATGTCCCAAAGCCCTACCTAGAGAAGGTCTGGCAGCCAACATGTGTCGCATGTGTGCTGCATACGCCTTCGAGACGAGGGTCTAAAGGCGTCGTAGAGGGGCCTGCGGACGACGGAAAGGAGCCCGTCGCCCTCCTTATCCTGCCTACAGAGCAAATAGAATTGCCAAATCAAGATTGCCTCGTCGGTTGGAAATACGTACATATTCAGACCCGATCTTGTTGCACGTTCATCGGCTGGAGCACAGACTTTCAGTCTTTCCAGCATCCAATGACAACATAGCTCAGCCACAATCATGCAGCGAGCTTTGGAAGACACGAGGCACTGTGAGGAAGCGCACGGCTGCGAGGAGTCCCCCTCAACACACATGTAGGGCCTGAAAAGCTAGAACAGGGTTTTGAGGTCAGTTATTATATGCCGCAAGAATATTGAGGAACCCTAGGAAACCTAATCAGAATAGAATATTACAACCATAAAACTACTTTTCTGCTTATCAGCTCCAAAGCGTGGGCTACCAGGTACCGGTTAGGTGGTCTTGTCAACTTCGCATCTCACCTAACAACCCAGAGTGCCAGCATGTGACACCAAGAGTTCCGATCTCAAAATGATCTGGCTTGTCTAGGCTCCGATTTGGTTGGCATGAATTCCGATAGCACAACAATACCTTAAGCCCACGTAACCTACCTTTTTAAGGACTTATATAAAGAAATCATATTAGGGAACCCTAAAAAAGGTAGGTTCCTTAGGGTCCAGGTATGCTTCAAGTGAACACTACGTACCAATACTACCCACCTGGGTAAGCCCCGAAAGCCCTCTACTTCAAGCCACATGGGACCAGGGTTATAATTAAGGTTAACTACACTTACAATTACTTATAACCCCAATAAAGGTACTTATAACCCTACTTACCATGTCCTATCACTTACAATTACTTATAACCCCAATTAAGGTACTTATAACCCTACTTACTATGTCCTATCACTTACAATTACTTATAACCCCAATTAAGGTACGTATAACCCTATTTACTAAGTCCTATGACCCTCTAAGTAGACCCTAATGACCTAATGAGCCGTGAAGTCCTGTACTAGGTTCCTGAGTGACCCCCCAAATAATAAGGGTACCCTTTTTCTTAGTATTGAGTCTTAATAAGGGGGCCCTAAACCCTAAACCCTCAACCCAAAAAGCCCTAAACCCTAAACCCTAAAAACCCTAAACCCTAAACCCTAAAAACCCTAAACCCTAAAAACCCTAAACCCTAAACCCTAAACCCAAAAAACCCTAAACCCTAAACCCTAGGGTACTACTCAGGAACCTAGTTTATCAGCCCACAAGCCGCAAAACCCTACTGTAGGGCCTTACGAATTAGACTAGGGGTTCCTGTACAGGGGCTCTGTAAAAGCTACCTGGACCCTAAGGAACCTACCTTTTTTAGGGTTCCCTAATATGATTTCTTTATATAAGTCCTTAAAAAGGTAGGTTACGTGGGCTTAAGGTAATATAAGGGATCTAGAAGAAGGGTACTATTATAATAGAGGGGCCGTCATCATTAGTAGATTCGGGTCTTAGACCATTGGAGTAGCTTATACTATAAGCATAATCAGGAACCGCCGAAATAGTATAGGTATTTACTAAGGACCCTATATTAGCGGGAAAAGCATAGGTCACGGAACTGAAATCCTACATGGCAATCGAAAACCTGAACCATAACAATAAAATGTGCAGGCTTGCGGCATGTGTCGCTGAGGCTTGTAAAGTAGGAAAGTATCAGATCTGGGACTGATAGAGGGGCCTTGCTAAGTAGAAAAGGGTTTAAGGGTATATTAGACTATAGCTATAAAAGGAACCCCCGGCAATAGGATAGGTAATTGTTAAGGACTCTATATTGCTCAGATCCGTTCGTCTGCTTAGATGATGGCTGCTTAAGGTGCGTAATCTCACGATCATACATACAGAGTGTTTCGATATTGCTGCTCAAGGCTGACTGCTGAAGAGCTGCAGTAGAGTTGAGCAAAGGCCTGAGTTGTCTACCGAGACCCATAAATGCAGTACCTTGTTTCGGATGAGTTGTTTCACGCTTGGATCCTATAATAAGCAACTAAGGTAGTCAACCAACACGTACCACATTTAAGGGTAGGTTCTGTAGCACACGAGAGCAGTGGAAAACATGCCTTGCATCTGGAAGTACTGCATAAACCTGATTGAACCTCAAATCGTAAATAGTGTACTGGCTCAACTTTACTGCATGTTAAGATGAAGTCGAGCAAATTCTGCAATCTTACATCGAGGATGCCTGCATCACCCGAAAGTACCCTCGAGCCTGTCTGCAGAACGAAAGGAGGGAACCCCAAAGCGTTGGCGCCTTCCGGAGCAGAATAATTCGCAAAGCTGTCAGCATGAGGATCCCCTTTGTCTGATTCGGAAAAAGCACAGCCTGCTTTGACAAGTTCAATTGAGGGACAGTTCGGATATGCTTCTTTCAAAAGAAATCCCAGCCATAAAGCCAACCTACCTTCAGATTGCGTCGGGGACGGCTACTTTGCACTACTAGCGTGTGAGTTGGGCATGATCTGCTTTCATTCTACCGTCGTGCAGCCGGAAACCATCTATGTTCTTTGCTGGTCGATTCTCTTCTGTTTCATTACAGTACGTTAGATGACATCACGTCACATTGCATTATAGCGCACTACATTCTAAACATTTCTGCATTCTGCATGAAAACAGCTTGTATTCTGCTGGATTGTAGTATAATAAATTGCCTTATGCTATGTTATATGATATGCTACTATGCTGGGTATAATGTTTGCAGTATGGCATGTACATGCATTTGTTGGATAGAGCTATATTGCAATAAACCAAATTACATTGCATGACATCGTAGATATTGCACATAAGGTTTTAATGTGTTGTGCTGTTTTACATTGTGCTATATATGGTATATATGGTCCTCCAAACATAGTTTATGCTATCTATATATTGGTACAGTATGATAAAGTATCTTATGCTGTGCCGGGTTGTGTTATGTTATGTTATGGTTTGATCTGTTACGTTATGCTAACTTGTGCTATCAATGTTGCGCTGTGTTGCGTTATATTGTGCTATGCTGTAGTCTGTTGTGTACCGTACTATACAATAT